TACTCCCAAACCATAAATGTGAAAAATCCTGGCAAAGGATTATAGCTTACCCTTTGTTTCTCCCTTTTTCTCCTTCTAATTTTCTGTTTGTTCGCGAGACTGTTTATTAGAAATTTTGGCCATGCATTGTGGTGCATGGAATAAAGAGGTCCTCCTCCTTTGTTTGTCATCTATGCACAGTGACAAAAGTGTTGCACATTGTGGTATGTGACACAGAGACAATCCTTCATGTTGTTCTCTTTTTTCGATGCTCGGGTAGCCTGACTTCAATTTAGACTCATAATTAAGGCTGAAATTATAACTAAAAATATTTATTAGACCTCTTTGACTGCACACCATATCAAATCACTCAATTATCATAATTAAACTTGATTTGATCCCTTAATAATTTAAGGATTAAAATTTAGAATATTACAAATTGCCACTTTGCATGTTTGTGATTATTTAACTTGCATAAGCATGTTTTAAATTACCTTGGTTATTGAGTATTTGTACTCATCCTCACTTAACATTTTACAGATGCTAACTCCAATCCAAACAAGGGAAATACATTGAGACTTAGGAACTCAACCTCATGCTGAAAAGCCTCCCTTTTCTTTTTAATTTATATGTAATCATTATGATAATGCCAACTAAGATGATCATTTTAGGTACTTGCACTATAGCATGTATTTATGGTTGAATGATTGTATTTTATGCCTTAAGTTTATTTAGGGCCAAAATATTAGTGCAAGTATATTTTGAGTTATTAGTATAGTTGTAAATGTTTATTCTGGTAATTAAATGACTATTTACTTCCCTTTGCTTTTTAATGAAAATAGGGTTAAAGAGTGAAGACGAGAAATAGTTTTATGTGTTATGGTATGTTTCACAAGTAATCTTAGGTTCTTTGGGTTTGGTCTAGGTGATTGTTTGAGTTTGTGGTCCTCTATATAGGGTTTGGACACCTTTTGTTCTAAAAAGTGTAAAAATGTAGTTAGTATATGTTCAAGTGTCCAACTTTTTGATATGTGATAATTTAAAAATTAAACTAGTGCTATTAGCTAGTTCATTAAATAAATTTTCTATGGATACCTAGATTGCTTCAAGTGGATGTTAGATAGAGTTTTGAATGTGTTGGAAGTTAGGCACTAGATTTGTCACATGATAGCAAATGTTGTCAAATTTTGTGTTGTGCTGCAAGCACTTTGATACATGGCACAAAAAGCTTTTAACTACGATGCAATGCTTCTGAGCCATGATGGATGGCTTGATATGTTGGAAAATTTCATTTTTACTCCTTTTAAGCAAATGTTTTCTAACCTAATTGATATCCTATGCTTCCATGCATTTTATAACTTTGATTTAGATTTAATTTGACCTAAATCTTTTATGTTTTCAATTACAAATTGGGATCCCATTTTTAATAAATGAATTTCCAATAGTCACTATAGATTTAAATAATCCTTATTTAATTATCATGATAAGGTTTGATTGAATGGTTTGTATAATTTAACTAGGTGATATCACATCTCTCTTCTTCGTGGCATTGAGCAATATGGTTGAACCACTTGGCCATCTTAGCCACACAATCGTGATCTTGGAGACTCATGAAGAGTCTTATGGCTATGTTCACTGACAGAATTGGACAAAAGCACTCTAATAGATGTATAAGGTAACAAAGTAGTAGGACAAGTAGTAAAGTATAATCACAAATGTGACCACTTGTAGATTTTTTTAAATGGGATGTCCTAGGCTCTTTGCTTTGAGTTTTGATTGTACTTGATCAAACTAAGGGAATGAATGTTGTTTAATTAAAATTATTGTTGTTCATTCTCCTTTGATATATACTTGTTGTACAAGAAAAATTCAATTGTAATTCATGTAAAAACTGTTGAATGAGCTTCATTTACAAGTAATATGGCTTGGTATATATGAAAAATAAATAAATTAAGGGGACGTTGTTGTAAGTGTTCCCAAAATTTCATGATAACTATCAATAATTACACAAAAACTCAATAAATAGAGAACATGTAAATGTCAGTATCCCTCAATTTTATGATAACTATGAGGAATATCATGTAAAACTAACAAACATGATGATATTTTACATTAACCGGGTCCAACCTTTCATGATAATTATCATAAATTACATAAAAGCTCAACAAATAGAGTGAATGTAAATGTCAATGCACATAAATGTCATGATAACGATAAAGTATACCATGATAACATGCACTAATTACATAAAAGTCATATAAAATTGGGCATGCTCATTAGTCACCAAGTTCACATCCTCAATCTAAAACCTTACACCCCTTATACCCCAAACCTAGTACCTTATACCCCAAGCCTATAAGCTTGCATCTAAAGTCTGTCACCTTATACCTTTCACCTTAAGCCCATACCTTTGCATCCTAAGCTTATAAGCTTGTACCCAAAGTCTATCACTTTGCACCTTCAACCTCAAGCCTACATACACTTGCACCCAAAGTCTATCACCTTGTACATTGCATCTCAAGCTTTTACCCTTACAACCCAAGTCTATAAGCTTGAACCTAAAGCTTAAACCTTTCACCTTCAACCTCAAGTCTATACACTTGCACCTAAAAGCCTATCACCTTACGCCTAAAGCCTATACTTTTGCACTCAAGCCTACAAGCTTACACTAAAACTTCTTACCTTGCACCTTAAACCTATACCCTTGCAACTTAAGTCTATATCTTTGCACGCCAAGCCTATAAGTTTGCACCCAAAGTCTATCACCTTGCACCTTTAACCTTAAGCCTACACACTTGTACCAAATGTCTATTACCTTACATGACACACCTTAAGCCTATATCCTTACACCTTAAACTTACATCCTTACACTTAAAGCCTATAACTTTGCACTTGAAGCCTATAAGTTTGCACCCACAACCTATCATCTTACACCTTCTACTTCAAATGAACCTTACACCCAAATTTCATAACTTTTATGATAATATATAGTGTTTTCATGGAAATATATGTTTTTTTATGTAAAAGTCCTCTATTTGGATGGATAAGTGAAAGTGACAACATCTTTCTACTCTCTTCCAAGAAATTTTTCTTTTTTTATCATGAAAACTTATTGCATGCCATGAAAATTGTGGACAAAAAGGGATCATATGTCCTTTATTTTCATGAAAATATGGTATAGATCTTGAAAATGATAACTTTCATGATATCAGTTCCTCAAAACATGTAGAACATTAGCAACATTTCTTTAATTGACTAACTTTATTGTTTAGAAAGAGTAAAGATGAGAAGAAGCAGCTTACCAGAAAAAGAAAGTAAACTAGGTTGGCATGCCTTTGTTACGCTGCAACAAATTTTTCTGACAAGAGAGAGATTTGCAAAATTTCAAACCAAATGTGCACCATTTCTTAATTGTTCTTAACCTCGTTCGACCATGTTCTCACTCACACCACCAACCTCCAAGTGCTCCTCTATCAACACTATCCATCACAATCAATCATTGCTTCATCTTTTTGGTGGTTCCTTGACTAGGGAATGCGTGTGAAGGATCAATATTTTTTTCTTTTTTAAAGTTCCGTTCGTTTAACATAGAGGAGCAATTCTATCATTTTATCAGAGGATTTTTTTAATATTAAAATGAGTTTGATCCTTACAATTGACTTCATCTCTGAATACAATTTGCCTCTTAAGTAAGTCTTTTTTATCAATTCTTCGAAAATTATTTATTGTCATGCAACCAATTTTTTAATTATTTATATTTTTTTTAAACACTGCGAACATCCCCTGACGTTGGAATAAATAGTAGTAGTAATGTTTCCGTGCACCGTAAAATCGAGTTGAGATTAACCAGAACTATTTGCCTTATTGTGCGTAAAATCTAGTCCCCTTAATATATTGGAGGCACGATAATTGTTATAATTGATTAACCTGAACTTTTGCTTTCTTCTTCTTCTTCTTTGTTTGTTTGTCTAGTGATGGGGCGGAATCATTGCTCTCCATAGCAATTCCTCTCCTTGTCTCGCTCTTAAGCCTTCTCTCTTGTCTATAAAAGTACACACATTCATGCCTTGATTTTTTGATTTCTTTCATACATCATATTTACCATAATTTCACTTTTTTTGACATTCATGCCTTAATTTTTTGGATTTATCCATATGACATATTTACATGATTTCACATTTACATGCCCCAACATGCACCTAGAAGGAAATAAGAGAATGTTCAGGCCAAAAAAAAAAAGAAATAAGAGAATGGGAAAATATCATTCTAGAATCAATGAGGGTATTTAATATCAATCAAGGATAATTTTTTTTAAATATCATTACAAAATTAAGGGATTAACTTATATATGAAAAAAGACCATAACATTCTTGCCTTTCTTTTTTTTAATTAACAAGTAGTCATTCATGAATTAACAAACATTTATTCGTATTTAATAAGAAGCCATTCATTAATTAGTGAGTTCAACAATATAAAAAAATTTGATTATGAAAAGGGATAATTGTATTATATTTTAATAAGTAACCATTCATTCATTAAGAAGTAATCATTTCTATTTAATAAAAAATCATTCGTTAATTGATAAATTAATAATGTAAAAGAACTTGATTGTGAGAAGGGATAATTGTAAATTATATTTCAACAAGTAGCTATTCGCTAATTAATAAATACTTATTTACATTTAACAAAAAACTATTAGTTCATGAATTTAAAAAAATTTGATTTTGGGAAGGGATAAATGCAAATTATATTTCAACAAGTAACCATTTATTAATTAATAAGTTCTCATTCATATTTAATAAAAAAATTATTTATTAATTGATAAATTTTTTTTTAAAAAATGAGTATTATAATTTTTTTGTCATTCTAAAATTATTTTTAAATTAATTATTAGTCTTGCAGTAATATTTTTCAATTTTTTTAATTCTTATTTAATTTTAAATTGCTTGCATGGTCTGATCGATACTTTCCCACCGTTATTAGTCTCTACTACTTTCTAGAACGCATCTAGGAGGGCAGAACGAGACAGGAAGGAAGGAAATTTCCTTTTCTTTTGCCACTGAAATCACTGCGCGTTGAAAGTTCGTGGTCTGGCTCTGGCATGCGCTCGGCCAGCCAAAATCAAAGAATCCGAGGTCCAGGGTCCAAACAATGATAAAATATCATGGTTCAAACCAAGCCGCTCTAAACACGATTAAAAAAAAAATGCAAATTAGAACTAAATATAAGCACACTGTTCTCTTCAACTTTCGAAATTCCCTGGACCTCTGCCGGCAGTTCTAAATTTGCCACTTGTTTTCTGCTACTCTCGTTGTTTTCTGAGGTCTCGCTTTTCCCAAAGGCAACGGAGAAAGAGAAGAAGAATAATGGTGGGAGCAACGATGTGGCAGGGTACAGCTCTGGCTGGAATAGTGTTGTGGATCGTCTCGTCTTCGTACTTCGATGTCACTCGCAAGATTAGATCTTCCCTGCAACCTTGGGTGGCTCACCATGTTGAGGTTGGAACTCCTGTAGTCCTACGGATCCAGGTAACGAGCTGTTTATGATTTAAAACAAAACAAAGAAAGAAAGAAAGAAAGATACAGATTTTTGTTCTTTCAACAATTTTATGACTCGTTTTTTTTTTGGGTAAAATTTGTGGCTACTATTTGGTGCGTTTCTACAGAGTTACAGGCTTGGACTCCTGGATGCTCTTTTCTCCGGGTTGTCTTGTGTTGTTTCTGTGCCCTTTTACACAGCTTTTCTTCCTCTATTATTCTGGGTATGTGATCTTTCCCTCTGTACAGGAGTTTGTTAAATTCACGAATTATTGAAAATTTCTCTTAATGCGATGATCTTGTTGAAAAGTTGACTTTTTTTGCATTTACATAGAGTGGGCATGCCAAATTGGCGAGGCAGATGACCTTGTTGATGGCGTTCTGTGACTATATAGGTAACTGCATAAAGGCAAGTACTTAAACCGGACTTACCTTTTCACGTACATGTGAACATCGCATTTACCTGTTAACATCTAGCATGATATACCTGGACTGTTTGTCATTCAATAGGATGTGGTATCTGCTCCAAGACCTGCTTCTCCACCTGTTCGGAGAGTAACAGCTACAAAAGACGAAGAAGAGAATTCATTGGAATATGGATTGCCTTCTTCTCACACCCTTAACACCGTTTGCCTATCTGGGTATTTACAATTCTTTCATTTTCTCTTTAATTCGTAAGTTATCCTACTTCCGCAAGGGCAAATTTGGCGATGTTGGTAACCAAAAGGGAATGGGATTATGAGGCTTGTCTTAAGGAACAGTGCTGTGTAATTGTACGAGGTTGTTAGTGTTGTCATAAGATGTTAAGGCTCTCGACGTGTATTCGAAGAGTCTGAAAGTATAGCCGATTGTATACCTTACCAGTCAAGTCACATAGACCAAACTTTTCCAACATAGAATTGGTAATTGATCATATATATATTTATATATATTCTTTGCACTCCATCTGGTAAAGGTGAAAGTGGATGGAATGAATTTGGGAAGGATAAAAATTAGTTAAGTTGCTTGCTTTTCTTAGCAAACAAAGGAGATTATGTAAAATATAGAATAAATTCACCTAAAGTCCACCACGATTAATCTCTTCCATCATATGGAGAAGCTGAGAAGATGAACAGAAAATTATAATAAATTAGACTATTGTCTTTAAAATACCATCTTGACAAAAGTTACTTAGGGTTGAATACTTTAAAATTTTCTGTATGTTTCCGCTGCCTTTGTTACATGACACCTAAACATGAGAGTGAATTATCTTCCACTTCCTCATTTTCTTTCCCCATACTTTATTTCCCTTCTGCCTCTCCTCATTCTGTTCTCAAAGAAAGGCTAATCTTTTGGCAACAACAGTTCAGATTGACCAAATAGAAAAATTATGATCATCCTAAAGAATTGATTATGTAATTCTCACAGAACATTTTAGCTGTTCTATCATCAGTTCAAGCACTTAATGACTGTAAACATGTTGATTAGAAGGCATATATATATTGGTCAAGTTCAAGGTTATCCTTTGAGCAAATTGGAACCTTGCCTTTCATTCTTCGCATGTGTCATTAATTGGTGTTTCTCTTTGTAATGGATGTTTTCCAGGTACCTGCTGCACTATGTCCTGACCCAAACTCAAGTTGAAGGTGCCTATTTCAATATTCTTGGAGTTGCTCTTGCTTGCTTGCTTGTGGCCCTTATTGGTTTGGGTAATTTTTTGTTACATGAGATTATTAGAAATCTTTCTTATTGTTGGCTTGTTATACAGCAATACTTTGATCAATATTTGTTCTCCTTTGTAGGAAGAATTTATCTTGGCATGCACAGTTTGGTTGATGTCCTTGGCGGTCTTCTCATAGGATTTGGGATCCTTGCATTTTGGTTTTCAGTTGATGGGTGCATAGACAGTTTTGTGGTTTCAGGACAAAATGGTATCACTACTAATAATAATATATTCATCATAAGGGATTTGCTTTCAATTCTTGAAAAGTATTAACAGCACATACTGGAAGTCAGCTTTCAGAAACTGTAATACAATTGTAATTGTCATAACAGAAAAATCTAATCATGAGTAGAATGTTTATAAACTTGTGAAGATTGGGAGGCTCATATTTTTTTCATTAAGCATTCACTTTTACACGATGTAGAAAACTTGATATTCAACATATAATTTGTTTTGATATGGGGTAAGCTCGGCAAGCTTTCATATGATGTACCTCATAACAGTCTGTATCTGTTGCAGTTGCATCTTTTTGGGCTGCCCTGAGCTTCCTCTTGCTCTTTGCTTATCCAAGTCCTGAACTGCCAACTCCAAGTTTTGAGTATCACACAGCTTTCAATGGTGTTGCATTAGGAATTGTAAGAAGCCTTCACCTTTAAAATTATCTAAAGATTTCTCTTCTTTTTAACCTTTTCTTTTCTGCCAAAATGGGGACATAGTCAATATTATATTATTTCATCTTATTTTTATTAGGTCTTTATATGAGTGAATCTTGAGGAGATTCTTCATCCTTTGATTAACTGTTCTGTTTTATCGAGCTGCAAAAAATCATTTTTTCTCTATGCATGCTGCCAAAATGGCTATCTCAACTTGCCCCATCTTTATCTGAATGTTGGTCTCCTTAAATGAATTTAACTTCGCATGTCCCGGAATTATTTCTGACTAGTCATAAATGGTGGCAACATGGGAATGCTAGTTAGGCTTAGGCAGCCTAAAACTGACAACATAGCAATCATTGGCATAAGGCTGTAATGTGTGAGATGAATGATACGTGCAGCATGCTAATTGTAGCTAAATAGCTTAAGGATTAAGATCAAATGTATTAGTATTGCAGTTCTGGTCAAGGTTTTGGTATTCCTCTCCAAGATTCAAGACACTCTCACTCTGTAGGCTTAAAGCTCTTCTTCATTCCAGTTCTTTGAATCAGCGTTTTTTCTTTTATTAACCACTTTTTATTACTTGGGCAGGACATCTTAAGCATCACTTAGAACTGCTGTGATGATTCATAGTTGCTTACGTTACTAGTATTCAGTCTCAAAGTTGGAGTGTACTGTTTAGTTTAGAAGAGTTCTCATTCTTGAGGTTGATGAGGAGATGCATGGGTTTTGACCTTGAAGTACTCTAGGGCGCTTTATTACTTGTTGTGGTTAATCTATTTAGACTATAGAGATTGGAATCTTTCCTTTGAAAATTGGAAAAGGCATCATGCCAATGCTTGTCATATCTGAGGTAGGGTTGAATGATAATATGGAAAGAGAAAAACTAGTTTAAGTTCAAGGCCTTGAAAATGGAAGTTGAATGGTTCTTGCGACTATAATTGAAAGTTTAATGCCAATAATCTAGGACCAGATTGAGGGGATTACAAAATTATTGATCCAATTACTTTTAAGCAATGGAAAGTTAAGAATGAAAGGCTGGAGACGCATGATACATCCAATGCATGTTTTAATCACTTCTCCCCTTTGTAATTTTGGCCAAATTTCAATGATTTTCCTTAGAATAAATGGATGTTTGTCTGTTATGAAAGAAGCATTACTCAGCACTAACAAATAAAGTATCATGATTATTCACCTAATGGCACTGCTTTCAAAATTATATAGATTAGTTGTTTTTCAAGCAAGATTTTCCCCATTGACTGTGCTGAGTATTCAGTTTAGTCATTCATTTGGCACATACAATTTAATATCCTTATCAATGACTAGAATGGCACAGGTTTTGCTTTGTTTCTACATGTACTATAATTAATAAAGTGGTCATGTTCTCCAGGTCGCTGGAATACAGCAAACATACCATCAGTTTCACCATGACTTCGTTCCTCGTCTGTTCTCTTCAGAAATCACAATGCCTGTATTTGTGGGGAGGGTGCTTTTGGGAATTCCCACAATTCTGATCGTGAAATTCTGTAGCAAGACGCTTGCAAAATGGACTCTTCCTGTGGCATCAAATACCTTGGGCATCCCGATAAAATCTACAAGCTATATGCCCACATTAAATGGATCTTTCAAGGGAAGAAAGCATGATAGGCTCAAACATGGAGGTTATTTGCACAAGCTTCTTTCCCAGCACGAGGCATTTGATGTAGATACAGGAATTAGATTTCTTCAGTATGCTGGTCTGGCATGGTCTGTGGTTGATCTTGCCCCTTCACTTTTTCAATATTTGAGCTTGTGATGTTGATGTTTTGTTAGTATGCACCATCAACGAGATTGTACACCTGAATGTAAATCAAATTTTTGTATAGCTACGGCTCACCCAATTTTGATCATGTTATGATGAAAATTTTTGTGGCAACCAAGGCCGATTCAGATGTACGATGCATTTGTCTCCCATAATGTGCCAGCTTCAAAGATATTGTCATTGGACTTTCAAAAGTTACACTTCACGTTTTTTCTTATTTTTCTTCGTTTTAAGTATTTGCAATCTCATTTAATTTTTTCTTGTATCCGTATCTTTCGATGTCCTTCAAGATGTCATCCATTCAACTTCTGTAGAGAGGGAATTCTGAAGCCAACCTCACCCAAAAATAAGAACAAAAAAGGGCGGCAAAATAAATATGTAAAACCTTTTGCGTGGTTATTACTCCAAATACAAAAAACATCGAACCTACGGGTATGGACGTGAGGATGGGAAGGGGGCCGAGGAGGGGCGGGGGGGGGGGGGGAGGGGGGATGACTTGTGGCTTTTTTCATTTTTTGGTGCGGAATTGACATTTTTTTAATTTATAGGTGACAGTTAAACTATTATTTTTATTTTAGATTGTACATCCATTAAAATTATAAGTTATCAAAAGTACAAAAATAAAATATTAAATGTGATATATTCAATTTTAATCTGATGGTCCAGATTCGCTCTTCACAGCAATGAAACAGAATCCACTTTTTTCTCGAGAAATCCAGTCAAGCAGCTAAAAATAACAGGTATTAGTACCAGTCAACGTTGAAAAAAGTGATCAGAAGGGCCATCACTTCGTGTGGCTAGATTAAAGGCCCATTTATTTAAAATTTAAAAATAAATAATTTTTAGATAATTTAAAAATTTTACAAGAAAAAATTTATTTTGCAAAAATTTTATTAAAAGAGAAAGAATGATAAAAAAATTTTAAAAAATTTAATTAATTCAAATAAAATTTCAAACGTCAAATTTTAAAAATTTACAACTCAATATTTGAATTGTGATAAATTAATAATTTATTTTTTAAATTTTAATATGATTAAAAAATAAAAAAATATTTAAATTTTAAATTATAAAGTAGTTAAAAAAATATGAGATTGAATTATAAATTTTTAAAATTTAACACTAAAAAACTAACTTTAGTTAATTAATATTTTTAAAACCTCTATCATTCTCCCATTTAAAAATAGACATCATTTTTCTTTATTTTTCGACTAAGCAAATGTTGAAGCATTTGCAAGCACGGTTCGAATCCGCAATCAAAGCATCAGAGGGATGTTGCTATGCCAGCTGAACCCAAGGTTCTTGACCAACAAAAAAAAAAAAATTATTTGATGATCATTTATAATAATATATTCCTTGTTCTGTTTTATAAAATATTTATTATATTATTTTAAAATTTATAATATCTTCACATATCTCATTTTCACAAAACACTCTCATTTACTACATAAAATTATTTTCAAAAATTATTCAAAGTAACTTATTAAAAACCAAAAACTTGTTTTTTTAATTCTAATTATCCTAAAATATTTAAACAAACATAATCAAAAATCACAATTTTTTTTTCAAAAAAATGAGTAATTTTTTTATAAACTAAACTGAAACCACCCTAAAATAATCAATTCTTTATGTATGTGAGATGAGGGATTGAATGCAGATAAACGACAAAATGTTCAGAATAGATATTCCTATTAATCCATACATTCAGTCAAAGTTAACCAACCAACTGCTGACGAGATTGCGTGAAATCATTATATGAAGAAAATAAAGGAAAGGAAAAGAAAAGCTCACTCGAGCAGAAAAGGTTTGTGTGAACCGTGATATAGCAAGGACAAAACTTACCACTACCATCGTGCAACTTTTTCTAAAAATAAAAATTAATAAGAACATAGCAAAAACACGCACGAGATTTAAAAATCCCATCACCGCTTTAAAGCCTCTGAGAAACCCCGGGGGAGTAGGGAAGGAAGGAAGACGGGGAAAAATTAAAAATATCCACATTTTGCTGGAATTATACATATTCTGAGCCAGGCAACTTCTCCAAAAGAGCCTCCAGCAAGTTCTTGGTCGTAACAAATCAGTGGAATATTACCTTCCTATGATACATCAAAGCCGACTTCCACAGCCACCACAAAAGCATGGAAAGCGAATATCCATGGATTTAAATGCTAGCAATGTCAGGAACGAGAATGCACTACTACGGTACTACCTGAAATTAGTGCAGTAAGTAGTAATACCAGTGTGACATCCCGCAGCTACATTATAGGAAGTAGTCAGGTGTCCTTCGGGTGACATCCGGTTCACCTCTCCTAGGAGCTGGTTCAAACTGCAAGACGCACGAAAATTTATGCATCTAATTAATCAGGTTCATATCAACTAGAACAAGAGTTGAACGAGAGAGACCTGGATAAATGTGTGGCTCTTGCAATCATCAACCTCCAAAATGGAAGCCATGTTCCCACATCTATAACAGTAGTTAGGTGCACTAAATATGGTAACCACCTTTTGTTCCTGTTTCAACCAAACAGTGGGCATTAGCTTAAAATGACCTCCTCATTTTTAAAACAAGTAAAGCCAAAGAGGAAACAATTCCACAAAAATGACAATTACATGAGCCCAGTTAAATCCATCCATCACTAGCTGGTGAGCTCTAGCAATCAACTTAAGACTGTTTGTGTGATTGAATTGCTCAGATATATCCTGGAACAAAGAGTATGAATTCAAAATAACAACTGAGAAGACAATAATCACTCTCGATGTTTCAAAAATGTCATAAATGTGGAGAATCAACTGTTAAATATATGGTTACCTGGCCAAAGGTATATCCAGCACCACGAGGAGAGATTCCCCAGCCGCATCTGTCATCAGGATCAGACCATAACAGATCACACATGGGCCCTTCATGAGGAACCTCCTGAACACGATCAAAGTTCCGTATATTATCAAGGGTTTCAATTGATGGTGACAGTCCACCATGCAAGCAAAATATTTCGGATTCAACCTGTCAGAGACAAAATTAAGTTAGAAGCTGAAATGAATAAAAAAAGAATAAAAACTGGAACTAACATTTCTATCTAGTTATTATGGTAAACACAAGGAACCTGTGCACCAATAAATTGACAATCTTGACTTGAGTCATGATAAGGAAAAGAACCTTACTTGAACTAGGTTGAGCAAGAAACTTTACAATTTAATATATTCACAACTCCCCGATATGTTTAAAAATTACATTCAATGGAAAAGTAAACTTGTTTGGGGGGGGGAAAATAACAAACCTTTTACATGCTTACACTCAACACAATTATTCATAATTTTTCGCACTCAATATTTTCAGTTTTCACATGTATTCACTCCTAGCCCTTCATATTTTACTTTCTCAAAAGATTTCGTCTAACATGATTTTTCAAATGAATGCTGTACAAAAGACAAAGAGATTTGAGGGCTGGCAGTTGTGTTCATTTTAAAATTTCAACAATTTGATGGGAGCGATTGTCTATCACATTTTTAAAAAACTGAAAGTTCTTGTAACTGTTCATAGTTCCCTTCAGGAAAGGGGAAATTTACTCCAAAAATCTGCTTGAATAACTTAATGTCATTATCGGTGACTGAGAGGATATCTTCATATCTGCTTGATTGTTGCCCTTGTCATATCTGTTCAATCACCGATTTTTTGCTTGCTAGTTTTCTTTTTGCCTATTTCAATGTAATCTATTTTCTTCCATCTCTTTGCAGATTTTACAGGATTCTAGTTCTATGGCATTCTTATTGTCATGATCCCTATATTTATATGTCTACCTTGGATTTAAGCATGAATTCATAATCATCTTTCTCTAAGGTCAAATTTGGTACGATGGAGCGGTTTTTCAGCAGATGAGAATGGAAATTAAAAAGAAAATGGACCTTCCATGGAATCAAATTTGAACATAAAAAATCGAAAGGAAAAAAAAAAATAGTAGATGGCATGAGTATCCTTTTAGTAAAACAAAGAGATAATTAGCTTTAAACTATAAAAAACAAGGTTATTCTCATCCTTTTATTATGGTTCATAAGGAAAGTGGCATTTCCTCAGCCATCTTGATGGGAGGTTCCTTCCCATCTTCAATTTAAGCAGGCTTTACAACATCATGCTATTATGGTCTATCAAACACACCATGACGGATTTTCTCTCTCCTCCTTTTCTTCAAACTCCTTTCCCTCCTACCAAAGATACCTTAAGTTTCTACAGTTCATTCTCCATTTTTTTGTTGTTCTTGTGACAACTAAAAATTAAAATTGAAACGTACAAAGGGTAAATATGCACTAACCAAGGCAGTCAATGGAAAGTAATCAAAAAGGTCCGTAAAGATCTTCCAAACATTAGCATTACCATATCTGCACATAAATAATGGAAAGGACTATCATGGATTTGAAAGAGGAAACAGGAAATTAGATTGCTTATAAGCAAGTTGATTAGCAAAGAGGAACATCTAAAACATTCTGATTAAACCATTCATGCAATACGAACTATCAAAAGGATCAAAGCCCGCACAGCAGATCAAGTTGTGACAGAATCTAGCTTCAATTACATGACATATAATCAACCCACATGTATCAAAATGTGGCGAAATATTCCAAAGTGCCTCTCCGCTACCATTTTAAAAGCCAAAACGATCTCAAATTCTGACTACAGGTGTCACCCTTGAAAGAAATATATGAAGAGATTTAATTAGAGTCGAGATTTATGAAAAAAGACCACCAGATGTAATCAGCACAGTAACACTATCAGATAGCGTAATCTATCTCCAGATCCACTTTAGCCCGCACACTAAGTCCACAGACTGTCCATCCTCACAATAATGAAGTGCCCAATTAGATGCTCAGAGATCATACACTTCAAAACACAAGGCTGTAGATCAATTGCTAACACTATCAGTGCAAGCACATGACAAGAGTTGCAAAAATCCCATACCTGAAGCTTGTGAACACAAAGAAGTTTGCTACTCTGCTTTAGCATTTAAGTACATTATCATTCAGTTAAATTCCCATGCTTGATTGACCAGGATCACATGACATGGATCCTCAACATCCAACCCCCATAAAATAGTACTCCTTTTGACAAAAAATTGGCTAAAAATCACCAGATTTTTTTATATCCCAAATGGACAGGCATCCTGAAGTTATCAGTCTGTCTTGGTGTTGAATAATGGATATCAGAGCCAAGCATAAAATCAACATTTATTTTCTCCCATTTCTGCTTCACTTTAGATCAACAATAACTTGATGCATACAATTCTATACTCTGATTATCTTACTTAGGACATAAATGCATACCACTTTATTTTGTGTCAATCACACAATGTCATGTATGACATACGCATCAATATTGAAAATTGAAAATTTTGAAACCAAGACTCTCATTCTTACCAAAAACAAATTACTAGGTAAAATCTAATGGCAAAATGCCACAAATACATGTTAGGTAAAAATAAGGGTTTTCAACCATCCTATTGTTGATAATTTTTCTAAACGAAAAGTTTACATGACCCAAAAAAACTGCAACACTATCATGTGAACATTAATGATAGAAGTTTGTATATTGGTAGTTCTTCATTGATAACGAGAAATTGAAATGATACAATCAAGGAATTCTAAACATAAAAAAAATAAATCTTCTCTAGACAAAAGTATCTCCTGTTTTTCCCCAGGACCACTAAATGAAGGTGTTGAAAACTCACTTTCTTAGGCATTCATCATAAAATCCATAAACTTGAGTAATCTGCAAAAGGGAAAAATGAAAAAGCAACACTTAGGTAAATAAATCATGTGCAAGTTTGCAAATCAAAACCCAAATGCTTGACGACTAAATTTGTTATGCAACTAAAAAATCTACAAGACAAGCCAGTTCTAGCATCCCTTGTACAAATTTCAATGAAAGAAAGGGGAGAGGGGACGCACACCTGACGACTTTCATGGTTTCCTCGAAGAATAGTAATCCGTTGAGGATACCGTACTTTCAAAGCCACAAGGAGCTGCATAGAATAACTAATTAGAAACTCAAGCAGACATCAATGTTACATAAATAATTTATTGATGTTCTGCTTAGCTGCTTAAAGCACTTGCCAAATACTAAAAATCTTGACAAGTACCTCCACGAAGGATCCACAAGTTGAAAAGTTCATGCTCAAAAACTTGTGTTGGAAATGCAATTGTAATTAAGAATAAGCATCCTTTTTACTTTTATAATGATTCAGATTCTGATTTATGTTGTACATCAGCAACATTTAGCCATGCTTCTATGTATATGGTAGGAATATGGAAGAGGATGTTTGCGAATTGGCAAGGATTCTGCTTTCTCTTAAACCCAGTTAGGTGCTAGAAGACAACATAAATGATGCTCACCCACACTTAAAGACTTGCTCGGGAAAACTTTCTGGCCGAGTTTGCTCAACCTCAACCATGAAAATTTCCAAAATGCAGAATAAAATAAAGAAATAAAATTTCAGATAAATTTGTCTTCAGTATACTTACTGTTACAGTTTCAACAGAATAATAACCTCGGTCCACATAATCTCCCATAAACAAGTAGTTTGTATCTGGACACTGTCAAAAAAAAAAATTGCTAGACTTCAAATCATGACCCGGTTAAAGAATGTCTCACTAAATTACTAGAAAAATATACGATCCCTAAACAAACAAAAATGCAACAACAGATTATAAGCATTATTTTCAATAGAACAATGGTAAATGAACTTAAAATAATAATGAAAGGGCCCATTGAATTCAATGAATAGTTCCGTTCATGGAATCCACTTCTAAAGAACTCAGGCACTTCAATTTTTAAAATCTCATTCAAGGTCTCAAACTATTAGTTACTTTACATCATTCATCTCAGCTGAAACAAAAGATTTGAATGCCAAAAGAAAGTCAGAGGCATAAATGATACCTTTCCTCCAATTCGAAATAGCTCAGCTAGATCATGAAACTGTCCATGAATATCACCACAGATTGTCACAGGACTTTTCACAGGCTGTGATACAGGAAAAGGAGATTCAAAACAAACAAACAAAAATTAATTCTTTCACTGACTAAGACACTATACTATGAAAACTGAAGTTGCCTTGATATAGGGTGATGCGATTGACATTCAAAGGGATATGTAGCATGAGAAACTTAAGCATACAAAGGGAAAGGAACTGACGTGAGTGCAATGGACCCAAATATTAAAACAAATAAAAAAGTGTAGTCAATTAATTTATGACCAAGTAAAAGATTAAAAAAAAAGCATAGCAGAAGGAATAGTTATGAAGTGAAATCACTGACTTCAGAAACAGGAAAATTATTGCCAAGAAGTACAAGTTAATAGGCAGGAATAAAGAATAGCACCTGGACATTACTTTCATCCATCAAAATCTCCTTTGCCTTATCACATAAAACTCTAACCTGAAGAAAAAACAGAAAGCAATATCATCCGTTTAAATTTATAGAACAATAGCAACAGCAACTCAATAGTGTCAATAAATTGAGCACGACTACTTAAAATAAACAAGGAAATCAATATAAAAAATCACAAACCATTTGGACGTTTTCCAATACTGGTCACTCAAGAAGGGAAAAAAATGCAGCCATTCTCTTATCTAAGTCAGTCTCAAGGCAAAGAACTTTGTGAAATGAACTCTGTGATGGGTAGAAATAAATGAAGCATCACTGCTAATACAAAAGTCATAAAGGACGAAATGCCTCTTTAAAAACTAAAGGCAATCAACAAAGTAGCACGTGCACAATGTGCTAAGCACTGCTTCCTATGCATATCATCAATGATCAATCTTTGACATTTGAAAACTACCATGGTGTAGCACTTCAACTCAAATTAAGAATCAAAACCCAACGTTAGCTAATACCTGCTCCACTGATATACCAGCAAAGCGAAGACCTTGGGGAAAAAAAACCCTTACAGCCATAACATAAGATAATGTGAAAGAAACTACTCTATCTTGCCAGATATCTTAGGACGTCAGCAATAGCTCGTGACTTCAGGATAGTTCCAATTTCTGCCGTCAGAAGGTATAAAAAATACAGACTATCGTACGATGTGACCATGTGAAATATCACTACAGCAAACGCAAAACAGCCCTGTAATATTTAGGTGATTGTCTCATCCTATAGAAGTTATTGACATTTAAGCCCTAGACACCACGATTCAGCGTATGAGGAAACCCCTTCAAGTTCTTGACACTGGAGGGCACGTAAGTTCTCCAAGCGAAATATAACGTGATTGTTACAGCTAGAATCCAATTTTGCAAACAAATAGCATTTTCCATTATCTTTTTTTCACCAAGTCAATCTAATATCCATCGAATTTCTTTCTTCATTTGCACAAATCAATCATGCTTTCAAATGTCTTTCAATTTTGCATTCACGACAATCCAATTCGCCGCCGCTAAAACTATTCGGTGTTGATTCCATGTCTAAATGCTAGGTTTCTATAGAAACTAAGCAGATCCTAACCATTCAGGTAAAATAAATGAAACCTGTTGCTCTGAAAGCGGCTTGCACTGCATTAGCTGCGAGATCTGCTCGTCGAGATCGTTGCTCGACTCCGAAGGCAGGGAATTCACACCCATCTTGCTACTTTGCTCAATCAGGCCCGTGTGAGCAATATCCGGATGACGGCAAACCCTAGATGAAAATTCGCCGGCGTCCTTCGCAGCATGCGGAGTGAAAAGGGACGAAAAGAGGGGAAATGGAGAGTTGAGGGGGCGCGTGAAGTAATAGCGAATGAGGAGGTTATTTTTCAGGTACTGTAACTGCTATTTTTTTTGCTATCCTTATTTCCTTTTCCCTTTCCAAAATTCATTTGGGGTTAGAATTCGGAAAAACTCCTCCATTCCAATGCGATTAGAAGCCTCCACGATATTCTTCAGGTGAAGATATGTAGGGGATGATCTAGCGGCATATGGAGCGTTGTAACAGTTTTTTATTTTTTAAAAAAATTTTTGGCCAACTGTAACAGTTTTAATATTAAACTATACAAGAGACAGAATGATTGTTTCTTTTGAATGAGTCACACTTTCATTCCAGGTTTTTTGCAAATTATAATAAATAAAATATAAAAAATTTAATCGATAAAAAGATCGTTGTATTTTATTTCAGTATCTAATATCTTCCTGTCTTACTTACCAAAAATATATCTTCACGTCTTATAATTCTATTTTAGTATCAGTGTACTATTGATCATTTGATCTATCATTAGTTGTATCAAAATTTTAATTGACCACCTCAGTTTTATTTTTTCCTGGAAATCCAAATATCTCTATAAATACTAACGTTTTACTTTGTTTTCAATTTAAGTTTAACACTACTTCTTACTACATAAATATTATTATTATCATTATTATCTTGAATAGTCATAATTCCAAAGTCAACTTCATTTTTGTATGAGCTGGCACGATGTATTGATAATATTAATATCGATACTCCTCCGTTTAAAAATATAAAGTATTTTTAGTCAAATCTCACCCTAATAAAATAATATTTACTTTTCAACTAATCCTATTTTTTTATATCTACCCTCCTTAAACACCCTACAATAAATATGAAATCACTATCAATAGGAGAACTTAAAAAAAAATAATAATTACACCTCAAAAGACTAAAAATACCTTATATTTTTAAACATCCAACTCCTCAAAATATACCTTACATTTTTAAAAAGAAAGAATATATTGCTTATTAGGATAAAACAGCATGATCGGCAGTAAAATTATAAACCAAACACGGCTCAAATTTCGTCAATATAAATGTTCTTATTCTGGATGGCTGACTTTTATTACAGTTCAGTAACTCAACAACACATTGGTATTGTGAGGTTCTCCGTTAGTTTGGGAGTAAGGATGTGCACATCCTCACTGTCATAAACCCCGAATAATTCCTCCCGTCATCCACGTAAAATTATAAAATTTATAACAAACATGCTTATCGACCAAAAACAATTCATTAAGCAGGGACATTTTGACATCAGTCGTAACCTACATCTGTTTTAGGACCAGAAAACAATATTTCAAGAAACATTTTCTTGCGAGAGATGCATGAATATAACATGTATCAAAGAAAGTACCAAATCCAGAACATTGTCATGGTCAAAATTGACTTTTACCATCAATTGATGTATCATTTTTCAAGCTATGTCATTTTAAAATCCCCTTTGGGTGATTATGAACTTGTATTTAGTGTTTTTTAAAATAAAATAAAAAATAAAACATCATGAGCACTTGCACATCTCCACGAAAAGGAAGCTGATAGTGTCACGACAAATTACAATACGTAGCTCAAATATTCATTTGCTGCCCAGAACGGCATTCTAAATTGCAGAGCTGGGGAATCAAGTTGACCTGTGCCCTTTTTTATGATGCAAAATCAATCATTCAACATTAAGCATCTTCCATCCCTATACAACGCTACATATGGTTGCTAGCTAACAACTCGGATCACAAAGCCCACGTTAGGAAACCCTTCCCATATCGGAGGGGCTCTTCATTATAAATATCACGTCAGGTTTCTGCTGACATTTGGCAACTAAGCATAACCGAAGTTTTGACTATTATTTGATCGCTATAGAAAGGAAAGAGATTTGAACTCTCCTCAGCGGCCACTAGATTATCTCCAGGAATTTGGGAAAATAGGTCAATTGACCAATTGCTATAACTGAACATTTATAAAGACAACTCCCTCTTTAGAGGGAAAAAAGATTGGAAGGGGGGGTTGTGGGCAGGGAGAAAATTCAACAAGGAGCATAAAAAACTTTCCTATGAGACAAGGGTGGCATATTACAAGGCAGATCATTGCTAGGATCCCACGAGGGAGATACCTGGACTGACGAAGGCATGATCTACCATCCCTAGAGTAGCTTATCAACCAAAAGCTTCCTTCATCTTTTCTCTGAGTGTTTAGATCTGAACTGCAAACATCGAGAAAAATTATTATTGTCAAAATAAGTCAGGCACCCGCAAATACAGATACAAACTCGAAGTTGAACTAAACGGCAAAGTGAACCAAAGAGGCTAAGAGACACATGTAAATGGTAACACTGAATTAAAGAGTCTCAAAATGAAATATCCACTCAAGGATTCTCTATAAACCAAATTTATCAATAATAAGTTAACTGGCACACAGAAGTAAATAATCTCAGACAAACATGATATACAAAAGGGTAGATTCTACTTCACATGAGAGACTTGAAAAAAAAAAAAATAGATCTCACAAAATTATATTCCCCATTGCTCATTACATTACTTAACAAGGTTAACATGATGAAAGAAAATTAAAAAGTTAAGGGCAATAGCCTAACATAGAAAATTCTTAATGCCAGAGCAAAATGGAGATTCCCAAAAAAAAAAAATCCAATCGGCCATGCAGATTTACTTTTGCAAAGCATAGTCCAAAACTCAAAAAGCAAGAACCATGATTCCTAAATTTCATATTAAATACTAATGCCATATCCCCTATTACTCTCAGCCATTTCATCTTTAGTTTCCTTCTAAATTCTAAAGAGAATCATTCTGCAATGCGAAAATCTTGGTATAAATGAAATTTCAATTAAATAGTCCCAGAATTAATAGATATCAAACTCCTGAAATGTCTGATGTCATATGCCTATCCAAATAGAGATTTGTAAATGACAGAGTAGTGTGAAGAAATTACTTCCAACTCTATTCTAAAAATCACTTAAGATTAAAAAATGCTGTTAAGAGCAACCAAGGTAAATTGAACATCAACCTTGAAGGTAAATCTATAATATAGAATGACAATAAAGAGGCAAGGGGAAGAGAGTTCCTACCTTCAAGTGTTAACGCCTGGATCTATTCTTGCAGCAGCGAAATTCAGCTAACAGAGCTATATGATCAGATGACCATTCAGGAGAGGGAAGTGCTGTGTCTTTCCTTAAACTCTCCTCATCCAATAGCTCCAACAGTGACTCCACCACCAATGAATCCGCTGAACCACACAATATTATTACTTCATCAAACAGTGACCTACATTTTAATGTTCAACAAATGATACAACACTAACATAGCTCACCTGTGTAAAATATGTAATCTAGAGTGCCAATAAAATCCCTGGTAACATTTGTGAACAAAGGTTCATTTGTTGCACTATCCACTCTCCTTCTGTGCTGCTCAAATCCAAGACCTACCGTTCTTCCAAAGGATGAGTATGCACTAACCTGTAATTGATGGTTATCCATAAGCCCCAAAACACCAAAAGAAAACAAAAACATGAAAATCATAAACAGAAGCAGTTAAAGGAGAACATAACTAAAATGGAAGAAAGAACATAAAAATGCAATCCAGAAAATATATTACCAGTGGCAATTGATGAACCAACTTGTTGTGTGGCCGAAGTATATTGAGTGGATCAACTGCTAAATCTGGATGCGTTTGATCAACCTTCCCCAATGCAAGAAGTGCATGTGGAGCACTGCAACAAAGTTCGTTATCACTATTAGACACGATTTACTGATTCAGTTATACAAGCACAAGAGAATTAAAATAAGCAGCAATCAAAGAGCATAACAGAGTTAGTTACCTTCCAGGAACTGAATTAAAATCTCCACAAACCAACATTGGAATGTCTGCACTTGCAGCAATTTTCTCCAACCCTTTTAAGAGTGTGTGCACCTATAAAGAGGGGAATTATAGCTGCTGTGTGCACAATGAAAACTGCTCACGAGCAAAATAAATAGCTTACCTGCCAGAGTTTAACATCTTTTAAATCTTGGTGCACATGTACATGTGTATTTGCCTGAAGTCCCAAGGAAGAGTCAATGAGAAATACCGTTGAAAAAGTTCATATGACTTAAATCTACGAAAAAAAGAGGGGAATACTATTGATGGAAAAATCAAACACCTCAGAACCTTCTTTAAACGAAAATCAAACACAATCTACATGACATACATATCATGGCATCATGCACAATGAACACATGAAGACAAGGCTGCGAAAGGGTCACAAATCATAAAAGTTTACCACACAAAGAAGCTGTCTTTTTCCAGGATTGTCAACTAGCTGATTGCTAACTTTTGCTTCTAGAACCACAATTAGTGCAACATTGTCCTAAGAAAAAAAAAAGGACAGGAATGAGTTCTGAAAGAGACAACTATTTATTCCCAGGAACAAAAGTGACATCCAATCTTTGAAGCAATAAACCACCTTAACCAGCCGATTTAATGCAGTTTTCTTCTGGCCAGTTGGAATCATAGCATCTGTTAAAGACTGTGCAGCCTTGTTAAATTCAACCTGCAAGCAAGCAAAAATCATATTAATTGGTGTACACAATGAAGAGTATTACCATACACACAAAGTACTTCCCAACCTCATATTTCTTCACATGTGAAAATCTGTCTCTACGGAAAAATGTTGCACAACCATCAACTGTGCTGGTGTTGCCGCCAAATATCTATAAAAAAAAAAAATTAACAGATTAACACCAAATGGAATTTTAAAAATTATAACAAGAAAATATCTGAACAACCTCATTGGTTTTCCTCTTGTATAGACCATAATAACCATGTTTGTCCAGTTCAGGGGCAAAAAAATCCTCATAATGATCACCTTGTACCTGGGGGGAAAATTGACTGTCAGCTGAAACAAAAGGTCATAACAAAGCAATCATACCCTTCTTATGGCTATAGTTTTATGAGTGACGAGCATAAAATTGTAACTCAAGATGGTTGGGTTACATTTGACTAACACTATCCCACATAATATGGGATACAAATGCAAGTAATTAAAAATAATACAAGTTAATGAGCACATTAAATCACTTTCAATGGAAATTGACTTTATTTAGCAAGCAATACATACAAAAATCTCAATCACACAGGTATAAAATGTTATCACCAACAAACTTACAGATGCCACCAAGGTACATCTCCCCTCCCCCTTACAAACTGATTTATAACCCATAATTTCAAAATTCTGACAAAAGAATTTGCATTTAACACATATGTTGACACTACATGAAGCTATTTCATTCAATGATTTTTTGAAAATAAAGAGCAAAAATTTACCCAAATTTAAATCATTTTATTACCCATCAAACCCAACTGGAAATTAAAGCATGTTTATGTACCTCCTGAAGACAAACAATATCTGCCTGGTAACCAACAATTTCTCTTAACAAATTTTGCCTGCGATATGGCCAAGAAAGAGCCCATGGAGGACAGTAACTATATAAATCATTTGAAGCATATGCATCAGACAAAATGTTGTAAGATAGAACTGTAAATGTTCCTGAAGATGTTATGCGTGCATCTGCATCTATATGTGCCATCCCATCAACAGGAATCAAACGGCGTGGAATAGGAGAGGGAGCAGGAATAACACGAGAAGTTAGTATAGTATTAACATGCCCTACAGGAACTTTTGCCTCTGCATCAACTACAACACACTCAAAATTAAGGACATGACCAATATCATCAGCTGTTGGGGTATACGTTTTAGATCGTCCAACTTCAATCCAAGTTTCACCACCACTTCGTTGTGTAACAGCAGCTGGATATAGAGGAGCAGACACATTTGCCAAACTAGCACTTGAAGCAGAGCTAGATAAATTGTTATTAACTGCCCCAGAGCCAGAGCTATTATCGCGTCCAAATAGTTCCTCCTCTTCAGTTCCATTTTCATTAACTGCACTTGCAGCACGATCATGTAAAAGACGATGATGCTGCCATGCATCTGAAAAACACTTTGGTGTGCAGTGATAACTTTTGGTAATAGGTATTTTAGCCTTAACACAGCCAAGGCACTGCAGTGTGGCCTGTTCAGATGGATGTATGCTACAAACGGCAACCTTTTTATCACTTTGTACACGATACCTGCAAAAATAAGATCCAATTGATAAAACATCAGGAAAATTTTTAATTGTTAAGAAAATAGGGGGGAAATAACATATTCAGGATAATCTACTAATACTCATTAAATTTAAACATTATAAAATCGTGTGTGCGCACATGTACGCTCAGTTGATGTTAAGTCAACATATACTAGCTAAAAGAATCAAGGTACAGAATTTAAACCGTGACACAAGAATGAAACTATATCCGTTCCTTTTGATTTAAGGAAAGTAAATACAATTTAGAGAGAGAGGGAGAGAGATATTCAAGTGATCTGAGTGTAAGCAAAATTCCCTCAGCAAGGCCATATTTTATAATCGCTACTAGTTTTACATTTCTGTTGACAAGACAACATGATGTAAAAAGAAAAAGGGTAGGACAGGCATATTTATCCATAAATCTTGCAATAGCTACAATAACTGTAGGACAGGCATAACATGATATTTAATGGAAAAGAAATAATTACAAAAACAAATTAAGGGACAAGGCAACAAAATAAGGAACAAAGAGTTACTTGTCCACATAGTATGGTCTTATAAAATATCAAATGCTCAATTATAGAATAGTCAAAAGGAATTCCCTCAATAAGGAAATGCTGTAAACTTGGCAGTCGAATTTCTAATTAGTTAAGCCAATTAAACAGTTTCACATGAGCTTTCATCCCATCCTTGAAATTTGGACCTCTTAAGATTGTTATAAATTGATAACCAGGAATGATATTATAGTAGGCAAACCAGAGGTGAAACTAAGTCTACTTTCAAACTAAAATGTCTAATATATGAACTTGTTCTAGATTAAAGAAAAGCAGATAGAATAGAACCACAAGCCATAAACCTTACAAGAAAATTCTAGGGAACTTAGATCCCACGGAGGAAATCAATTGAAGAATTTACATAATCGTCAAATAATCAAAACAAATCCTACACCGCACATTTTTTGTTAGCGCCAGGATGAACAACAATAAGATACCATCTAGAACACTTGCAAATATATAATAACTGTCCAGAGTCGTCCAAAAGTAAAAAAGAGAAGTGGGGTAGTAAGTAGTAAACCCCGCCAAAGCAAGCAAAAAGACAAACAATATTGATACGAACTACACACTTACCACCTGTACCGCAAGAAATGGCCATCTAAAGGGGCCGTCTCAGGGACATCGTCGTTGGTAACAATCATGTCTGGTCGCTGTATGAGAACGTACGGCGTGAGCTCACATCCTACAATGGGTATATCAGAAGGGAGGTGTACGCGAATCACGGTCAGCATTCTTTTACTCCTTGCAATCGTTACAGAACTGCAACCAAAAACGAAGACCAGCGACCCTGTTAGCTTCCGAGATACCACATGCGCAGAGGCGGATGCCAGGCGGATCCGCCATTTACTTGAACCGAATACCCGCCAGCCTAAATGGACCAAAAGCAAACCCAAAGAAATCACAGCCCTAATCGAAGCCACCAATGGATCTTAGAAGAGGGATGAAAGTTATCGTGCACCGAGTAATTGAAGTGGAATTAATCAATCAACTGAGTGGGAAGGATCGAAAATTAAAAAGGGAGAGGAGAAGGGGCAATCGATGCTTAGGGTTTTACAGAGGAAGTGGCAGTAATCGGCAATGGTTCATAGCTATAATGGAGGCGAAGAGAAAAAAGGGAGGATCTTTATATGATACATGCGACCTTCTGATTTGTTTTCAATTTCCCTCTCTCGCTGACCTTGTGTGCGCTTCTTTGCACTCTGCCCTTTTTCAGTTTTGGGTTCGGTTCTCTTTCATTTTCCCTCTCCCTTCTCGCTTCTTGGAGGATTAGCTGGATTTTTTCAAATTATTAGATTTTTCTCCCGAGCCACCAATTCTTTCAATTAGGCATTTAGCAGTGAACCTCTGACAGGGAAACAAGTTAATCTAACCAAAAAATAAAATTAATTAAAGAACGTTTTTAAGTGATTGATTAAATTTAATGTGCTTTTATAAAATATTATGTATTTTTATATATTTAATTTAGTTTTTTTTTAAGAATCACGTTTAAGGGCTTGGAAAAAAAATTATTCATAAATAAAGATTAATAATAAATTTTATTTGAAAAATTTTATTTGAAATATAAATTTTTATTTTAACAATAATTTATTTTATATTGGTCTTTGTTTACAAATAATTATCTTCCCAAATATTTGAATGTAATTCTCCGTAGTTTTTTTCAATCAGATAAAGATAAGGAAATATCTTTCCTCAATTCAAAAATTTTAATTATTTTTAACATTACTATTTTAAAATTTTATAAATTTTGATAAAATTGAAAATAAATACATGAAATAAGTAATACCTAAAGCTAAATTCTCTTTTGGACGGGAAAAAAAAAAGGAAGATTTTTCATTTCCAGCTGATTTATTTTTTTGGGCGTCCCATCACAGCCTGCCATAATTTTTCTGAAAATAAGAGTAATAATGTTTGTGTGGTAACTAGTTCGAAAACTAATTTAAATGATTTTATAACCTTCAAAACATTGCTCTAATTAAAACGCAGATTTGACCATACCAGGCGATTTCCGACGTTGGCACCCGAACTATCTTCATTCTTTTGTCGTATGATAAGCATTCGCACGAGTTTGGTTTCATTATTTTTCATCTCAAAATGCCAAAATCAATTCATCAATATAAAATAATTTAAAATTAACTATTGATAGGCGATGCTTACAATATATATATATATATATATATATCTATATATATATAATGTCATTTGATTTGGTTATAAAATAGTATGAGTTGCATCAAGTGATCAAGTTATATCTTGTCATTTATATATCCAGATAATTTAAATAATTTAATTAAAGAACTGACATCAGAATAATATAATGCAGAGCAATCAAATCGGACGGGATAATAAAATCCTCTAGTTTTAACTTTTAATGTATGGCGCTCTAATTAGAGTCGCAAGTTCGCCAACAAAGATGGACTAATTTTTCATGTAACTTTTAATTATATTCCCCCGACTTTCTATACGAAGTAAACAAAGCAGCATAATGCATGTGTTACGGAGGGTCAGGATTAAATGAGAAAAATGGATAGCATTTACCTATTTCAACAGATGAGAGTTGGCACTACGTGTCCATAAATGACAAAGATAAAAAGTTCATTGTACTAGGTCTAATCACCATCGTTTATTCATCTCCTTTAAGTCCAGGATAGCTTAAGCAGTTACGGCTCGCAAAGATAATCTCTCAACTTGCTGGCCAATATTTTATTGCTATACGTGGGTGTGTCATCCCAGCTGCTAAAAGAGCCTACTTCTCAGTTCTCAAGATGTAAACACAACACAAACTTTCCAGAAATACATTGAAAATAGCTAGAAATGTAAATCGAAATACAGCCAAATATGTAAGAAAATATGGGAAAACTCTATATATTAAAAACAGCTAGTCGTGGTAGTGCCATTAAAACGATATGGGCTAACCTCATCTGCCCCAACATCTATAAATGCTTTTCAACTATCATTTCCACAATCACAACCCCACTAGTTCTTATAAAAAACTAAAGAAACAGATTTCGTACTTGTATTTCAGTCTTTACTAGCTGACTTGAGAACCGAGATGGCCAAGCTTTCTTTCTCCCATTCTTTCCTGATTTTCCTTTTTGTCTCGGGTAAGTTCTGAGTTCTATATCATCTAGATCTGTTCAGTGAAGGGCGTATCTGGAGTTGGTGTTTCTTATATGTTTCCTCAACTAAATGAAAAAAATTCTATGAAACTGAAGCTTGTTTGGCTGGTCAAATTCCACCTGCTTTTTTTCCCTGTTTCTGGCGATTCAATTTGAAATTTGTGAAGCTGTGATGATGGTGGTTGGAGCCAAAGCCAGAAGTTTTTGTTCAGTGGAGCTAGATCCTAACCAATGTGATGTGTTTGCTTGTCAACAAGAGTGCCTGAAATTGTACAGAGGGTGGGGAGGATGTGCTCACTTTGGATTGCAGATATTTCATTGTGTCTGCACCTATATCTGCCCTTAAAGAGACTTGAAGAGTCAGATCCTTATTGCAGCCATCAATTAGACTCGTCGCCTGTTTTGAGTTTTGCGGAATAATTTGAATAATCCTTTGTGATCCTGTTTGTACTGTGTTGCCTTTTCATATGAGATATCATTGATGCATTTGGCAGTGCTAGTTGTTTAGACCAGCCTATCACGTGTGCTTTCTGGCTTCCTCCATGGGGCTCCTTTGTCTCCCCATCCCTCGTTCAAAAAAACAGAACGAAACACAGCGAAATTTGCAGCGCAAAACCAAAGGTTAAGGAAAATAATTGAACGATGCTATGAGTAGGGGTCTATGAGAAGGAAGCCAGGGTTTAGAAGTGAAGGTCTATTACCAAAGAAAAGATTCAAACTAGTATTAACCTAACTTAAAGGACTGCATAAACTGCTTTCCACGGAAATTGGCTGTTCAATCTCGTGACCTTTTCAATGGGAACTTAAACAACCTTTTGCCTTAACACATCCTAAACAATGGAAGCAGATAGTTGCTTTAATCTTGTTTAAGTATTGGATGGCCCCGACCAATGGGATAAATTAGAAATCCCCCACTCATACTTAACAAAACCATGTAATGATAATTAAGTGAGACGAGGGACTCTAATGTGATATTCTTTAATGCTCCTTATAATGTATAAGCTTTTTAATTTCATTTTTTATTTTTTAATAATCAATTTTATATAAAATAAAAGACATTTAGATATATTGATGTTTTAAAATGATAAAGATTTGTATTTTTATAATTTTTTTAGAAGAAGAATATCACAAATATACCCTTTTATTTTTGAAAAATTATAAAAAATATAAATATTCACCATTTTGAGACATCAAAATATCTAAATGTCTCTTATTTTTTGTAAAAGCAATAATCCATAGAAAAATAAAAAATAAAATTGAAGAATTGAAGAATTTTAAGGAACATTGAAAAAAAGCACATTAAATATCCTTAACCCAGTTAAGTGTCTACAAGATATATGTAGATTAAAAAAATAAAAAAAATTAATTATTTAATCCTTATAATTATGACCCAATTATAACTTAGCTTTAAAGTTCTTGAAATTACGAATAAATTATAACGCGATCCCTAAACATTATTTCTTACAATCCAATCCCTATAAATTTAACCATTTAAATATTAATCTTTATATTTTAAAAAATAAATTGTAAAAATTAAAAATATTTTAAACTTTTAATATTTATAATATTTATAGAGATTAAAAAAGTTTAATAATTAAAAATATTAATAATAAATTTTAATATAATTTTAACTTTTATAATTTTGATTTTTAAAATATAAGATTTAATATTTAAATAATTAAAAATATAAAAATTGAATTATAAGAAAGTTAAAAAATTAAATTATAACCGAGCCAATAAGTCAAAGATTAAGATTAAATGATTAATTTTTTTTTTTTTTTAAAATCTATCTTGCCAAAGTAACTGGTTAAACTGACAACACGTCAGGTTCAAACTGCAATACACGTTAAGTTCCGGAAACGAAACGTAGTCATGTCTTAGGACTAGTACACAACTACTCACCAGATGAACGACATATTAAAATGACTCCTTGAACACCGAAACATCCGAAACAAAGAAACAGAAACAGCAACTAGAAACTATATGCGGTGGCTAAGTACAGCTAATAATTCTTGATATTTCCAAACGTCTCAAGTGAAAATATTTCAAAATAGAAAGTTGAATCGCCAATAGCAAAATGTGCCCATTTCCAATTGAAGCAAAGAGAACGAGCAGAGTCTAAACAATACAAAGATATTGACTCTCCGTTGTTTGCTGCCATGGTTGGAAAAAGAAGCCGTATTACTTGGGAAGAAGACAATAAACACACAGCGGACTTGATAAACAGTAATTCCAACTTAAAACAAAACCAAGCGCAAAAATAAATTATGACTCATAGCTCAAGGTATCCAAAAAAGGGTTGAAAACACGCCTTTGTATTCAGAAATAAAGCAAAACTTGGGGGTCTAGTTGTGCAGAGGACTAATAATACGGTTCTTCCAATGACCACATACAAGGGTTCAAATCCATAGGAAGCTACTTGGTTCAACAAAGAAGAAAAACAACTAAATTCAGAACTAGTAACCGCCTTTAAGATCATTAACGACATCATATGGGATGGGTGTTACAGTCTCCAATGTCGCCCCTTCAACCATGAAACCTGGCTTGGGGCCCTCAGGCTGCCTCTTAGTGCTGATGACCTCTCCCCTGGCCTTTGCCTCTGCTTTCAACTGGTCGTTCTTAATTTTTCTAAGACGGAACTCCTCTGTGCACCTTGAAGGCTGCACGTGCTCAACACGCACATGAATTCTCTTTCTGATTATCCTGTTACCGACCTAGAACATAGATGCATCGAAAGAACTAAGGAAATTTATGGAAATATCAATCAATCAACAATGACAGCTGAAAATTAATCAACAGATTACATACTGAGCCAAGAGACGAGCAGAGAGGAATAAATAGAGTTCTGAAAATTTTACAGCGTGAAAATATTTTAATGAAAACAATTTGAAGTTCCTGAAAAGACGAAAGATATATATAACTGAATCAGGTTGATTTCTCCCCTGATCCATATCTAAACAAGATCAGTTCCTTTACAAGAGTCAATGGAGGATCATTGGCAGCAACAATAATAATCAGACTAGCCACACGACGCCCCGTCGTTGGAAAGGAAACAGGAGTGAAATTAAGAGGAATATTGGAACATGTAAAGTATTATCATATGGGTTGCCAACGAACAACAAAATAAAGTCGCTACATATACCTTGGCCGCGTAGAATTATATATGAATGCGACCCTAAAAATCATTTCACGACTCATAGATTTTGCCTGAAAAAAAGGCCTCACTAATATATTGTCGCTCCAAACAACTTTTACAATCAACCCGAGATGGTCACAGTTAGCACAGCGACGGATAAAAATAATAACATGAATTATAAAATTAAACAAACGCAAAAATTACCATTCAATATCTACAGCAGATCCAAAAAAGACAACTTGCCAAAAGTTAGATGAAGAAAACTAACAACATTGGCTAGAACACGGCCGAGGGAACTTCACAAACCTCAGCATATAGCACAAAATGGATTAAGTCATCGTCAAGGATAATAGCAAAACAGGCCAATAACAAATTCATACATGTTAAACAAAACAGAAAGGAACAGAAGAAGCGTTTCAATCAAAAAGAAAAAAGGAAGGAAGGAACAGGATCCAAAAAAAAAAAAACTTTGTACAAAGCTGCCAGTTACCAAATAAAACATCGCGCAGTCATTGAAGAGATGTATATACCTGCTTATTGACCTCGACGCCGATAGCGCGCTTGGTGACATTCCAGACACGGCCCGTACGACCATGGTAAAACTTATGAGGCATACCCTTGTGGACGGCGCCATTGACCTTGATGTCGACGTAGTCACCAATCTTGTAGGTGCGAAGGTAAGTAGTGAGGGCGATGGTACCCTTCTTCCTGAATGGCCTAGAGAAGGAGTCTCGGGTACGAGATCTCAAACCATGGCCGGCCGGCATCGTGAGGTGCTTGGCGTTTTCTCTCAGGTAATGCGCGAAGGGAAGTTGATGGCTAGGGTTTTCTATTTTCACCCAACCTCTTTAATAAATGGAAAATGGGCTTCTTGTTGGGCCGGATCTCAGATGAAAAACCAAAGTCTTAAGCTATTTCGTTGGAAAAGAAACAATTTTGATCAGTAGTAATTTAAATAGATATAAATAAGAAAAAATGATAACAAAATATTACCTAAATATATAAAAAAATAATTAAATATCTCAAAATGTGATAATTTTTTAAATTATGTAAGTACTTTTTTAACATTAATAATTTTAAATTAAATTACTAAATTATTTTTTATTTAAAATAAAAATAATAAGTTCATGTGAAAAATTATAATTTCATATTTAATTTTTTACAATTAACAGAATAAAAATTTGATTGTTTAAATAAAAGTTATAATTAATTATTTTTAAAACTTGTATTTCAATAATAAAATAAATTTAAGATTTAAGGTTTACCTGAATTATATAAAGTACATCTGAATCATCAATATATATTAATTATAAAAATTTTAATATTAAATTGGACCATCTAAATTAAATTTATATCAAATTAAAAATAAAAAATTATTAAAATTATTTTATAATTTTTATTTTAATAAATATACTGTATAATGATACTTTAAATTTGGACCATTTAAATTTTTTAATTTGAATGATTTAGATCTTATTTTCAGTTGGGTCAATGCACAGATGCTATTAACAAGTGACCAAAAAAAAAATTGCTATCAAAGTCTTTTCATGGAAAACAAAAATGCTATCATAGTAATGTCGAGTTTGTGATGATTCAGGATATGTTTGGATTTTAGTTGAGGATAGTTTATTATAAAAATAATTTATTAGTGTAATTGATTTTGATTATAATTAATTAATTACCTTTGGGAGTATATATCATAAAGGGTTGCAGGAGGAGGAGCTGGACTGTTGTGATTAGCACAGTTCATCTCATCAACTTCCTACGTCTATAATAATCACTGCAATTAATTATATTATATTATAATTATAAAGGGTGGTAGGAGGAGGAGTTGGACTGTTGTGATTAATTAGTATAGTTCATCTTCAACTCCCTGCGTCTATAATAATCACTGCAAAGAACCAACCACCCAAATAATTAAAAGCCCTGGCCACATAGCAACTGTTTGGGGCTGGCGCCTCTAACGAATCGAGCGGTAAAGATTTACGATGGCATTTTTTTTCGTTGAATCATTATTGGTTTGGTCACCTTCCTCCGCTCCTGGCCCCGGAATATTATTTGCCCTCTTGGAGCCTGCTCTACTTAATGACCTTTTTCTTTTCTTTTCTTTTTCTGTTGGCATAAATTACTGCAACATCGGCGTAAAATCAAGAACAAATTTTAATTGGCGCAATAAATAAAAACTAATCAAACATTCTGATTACAAATTGAGATCTTGCTGCAATTATAAAAGGCTCGTTAAATGGAGTACATTCGTTCGCCACCCAACCCCAGATGTGTCAGACTGGTATATTAAATCTCCCAACCAATAAAGCTCTCGCCTTGGCCACGACAACGTAAAATTGCACCGAAACTCCGGTGCCCTTCTCGTCACCTTGTCGGCTTATTCAGAGTTTATATAGAGCCTAACTTGTTTCTTTTTCGTATTATCCCTCGCTACCTCATCTCCCTTCACCATGGCCAAGCTAGTCTCCTATATATTAATTCCTCTTGCCACTGTCTTTGTCTTCTCCTCCTCCTCCCTAGCCGCTGTTGAAACCAACGGTTTCTCTAGAAACCTCTCTCCGGCATCCATGGATCTCCAAGAGGAGAAGCTGAGCCACCTTCACTTCTACTTTCACGACATACTCAGTGGCCCAAAACCCACCGCCATGAGAGTGGCAGAGGCCCCGACGACCAAAACCTCCCGGACCGACTTCGGAGCGGTTGTGATGGCCGACGATCCATTGACCGTAGGGCCCGAGCCCGATTCCAGACTCGTGGGGAAAGCCCAAGGCATTTACGCCTTGGCATCGCAAGATGACGCGGGGTTGTTAATGGTCATGAACTTTGCATTCGCGGAAGGGCAATATAACGGCAGCACACTGAGCGTCTTGGGGCGTAACAAGGTGTTTGACGACATGAGGGAGATGCCGATCGTCGGAGGGAGCGGTGTTTTCCGATTCGCACGTGGGTATGCTCAGGCCAAGACTCATACGTTTGATCTCAAAACAGGGGATGCTGTCGTCGAATACAACGTCTACGTATTCCATCACTGATCAAACCCCTAAACTATGTTAATTTGGTTGTGTTTGTGTGCGTTACAGTGTCTCTGCTTACAAAAGCGTCCCGTTATGGCTTTGCTTTCTTGATCCATTTAAAACGGTTGTAGGTTCTTGTGCTGGTAGAAATGGGTCAAAGTTACCTTCTAACTTATAATGCTATATATGTCACCTTTTGCCTGCGATATATCGTCATTATTCTCACACGCGATTCGCCGGATTGGTGCATAAATCTTCGCTGGTTTGTTTTGAAGCGACATCGACCATTTTCCAAGGATCATGCAATGTTTAATTCGTTGCAGGCTGGTTTTCCTTCCCTCTTCCCCCTTCCCCCTTGTTTTGCACGAAGAGTATGTTTTGGAGTTTAAGGTTAAATAAAAAGAAACAATTATTAATGGAGTGGAGTGGACAAACATAAAATTTTTCATTGTTTAAAAGTTTTTTGATAGGAAGAAATATTTTTATTTCATCATTGTTTGTGAGTTATTATAAAATTGATAGAATGGATGAGTGGTTTAAAACTTTCTTCTTTCAATATTACCCATATGACTAAATGTTAAAAAAAGTATCCTTTTAAATTAACGGTTAAACAAGATACTCAATAATTAAAAATAAAAAAAAAGCAAATAATAGAGCTATTTAAATAAGCATTCATATTGCATAAGAAGAAAACACAATGGAGTTGCAGTGTTGAAAGGCACGAGTGAGAGATGGCAAGAGCGAGAGAGATATAATAGGAGATAGAGCTATGCACTATGCCTAAATGCCTAATCAGCCCCACCCTGCTCAAGCATTTGGATACATGACGTCAGGCATCAAAAAAGGTCAAACATTGCCTTGCTTAAACATGTACAAATTTTTTTATTTTTTAAATTTTTTTCTGAATAATATTTGTCTTATAGCATTATTTTTTTATTGAAAGTTATTATGAATTATATTATTTTTATGATCTTTTAGACATTTGTTATCATTACAATTTTTTAAATCTCTTTCAAAATTTAAAATTTATTTTTAACTTATTATTTTGTAAAAATAATTGGCATTTGTTGTTCATTTGAATTTTTAAAAAATTAATTTTTAATTCTAATGTTAGTTTTATGATGAATATATTTTAAATAATAATAATAATAATATTTTTTTTTCAATGAAAACTTTTTTTATATATTTTTTAAAAAATATTTGAAAAAAATATTTTCGGGTCAATCGGGCCAACCTGGTGCCCAATTGCACATTAGGCTAGGTACTGGGCTAGGGTTATGTTAGCCCAATCCTACCCATGTGCAACCCTAGTAAGAGGTAAGAGAGATGATCGGATAATGAAAATAACAGATAAAATTTTTTATTAGGATATGAGGTTAGGAGTAATTTTGTAAATGAAATAATTATATTGTGTCACTCCATCCTTGACTCTTCAATTTGGGAGACAAAAAATATTGAGCTACAGATGGAAAATGATGGCTTTAGAGGCCCTTCCTTGACATTTCATCATTCTTAAAAAAAAAAAAAGTCACAAACAATGGTTTAGACCTTTTAATCATCTCACTCCACTCCATTACCTCCTAAAAAATCTCCCAAACATAACTGAGGGGTCTTCTTTCCTTTCCCCAAAAAAAGAGAGAAAAACGTAATTTTAATCTTTATAATTTTATCAAATTTTATTTTTAGTTTGTATAGATTTTTTTTAATATTTTCAATTTTTATAATTTCAAATAAAATTGGGTAACTTTTGTATTTTAAGTCCTGATAATTTTCATTTTTCAATAGTTTTAATTCTTATAAAGATTAAAAATAATTAAAAAAACTATAGGGACTAAAACTAAAGCTCAATAAAACAATATGAACCAATGGTTATGTTGTTTTAAGGACAAATTAAAGCTCAAATAGCTGTGCCTTCTTACGTCTGGCCTGTGTCAGGGTTTGGATGAGGAACTAGCTAATCACAATAGAATAAAATGGGGTCGTCTTCCCGGTGCGATAAATATCCAACATAAAGCATGGATACCCTAATTAGTGTTTTGAAAAACGGATGTCAATCAAGAAGCTTAGCAGGTTTTGATTTTTATGATCCAGCCATCTAATAATTAAATAAAAAATACTATAAGGTGCATGTTATGCATATAAGAAATAAATGCCTGCTTATGACTAAAATGAGACAATATGACCGTAAATTAATAATATTATAAATTATAATTAAAAAATTTTAATGCTTGAATTCATTCTCAATTGTCTGTTTAATCATCAAACTTTGAATTTGAGCAACTCTGGCCTTATATTTTATTGACTTGAACCAACACTAAATCATCGTGCTTTCTCGAGTCAATAGAATTTAATCTTTCTAATTCTTTAAATTTGTAAATTACAATGATTGTGTTGCAATAATTCAAAATTTAGAAACTATCCCCACCTTTTATTATTGGAGACAGTGGTTGATAAAAGTTTTGTTTGTTTTTTGTTTCTTTGTACTGTTTATAGTGCTAGTTGAATTTTAGTTCTCACTTCTACTAAAAAAAATGAACTATATCAATAATTGAAAAAAAAAATATGGGCTAAAAATTATATCATCTCATCTCATTATAATTCTATAACCTGTTCAATGTATGTGGATATGATAAAATGGAGTGCAAGCATTCTAAAATATATATGCATTTGCACATGTAATTGTCAATGCCGTTCTAAAAAAATAGTTAGTAATTATATCATAACATGTCAAAAAATGAACCTAGACTTTAGTAAAATCTAATTTTTAAATTTATTTAAAAGTCATTTTGATAAATTAAGAATTACTTGAATCACACATAATGAAAAGTGTTTTTGAGTGACAATGATTTTTATACTTTGTAATTTTTGCTAAACAAGTGTTTTATATTAGACATGTTTAAAAATATATACGTAATAAAAATTATAAATAACATGAAATTTGATATTTTAAATAACAAGGACAAAAAATTCAAAGTTTGATACATTGAAAAAAATTATATAAACAATCAATATACATTAAGACCAAAAATTAATTGAAAAAGAATTAGGGGTAGCTTGATAATACCACAAATAAGTATATATTTTAACTATCTCATTGATACCCTAACACCCAAATCCTAAATGCACATTCTAAAAGCTCCCTCAAGTCATATTGAACAAATCCACTTTCACTAATTTTTCAAAGTATTGTTAAAATGTGATTTCATGAAACAACAAACAACTTGAAATTTAAAAAAATTGCAAAAGTATTGTCTAAAAATTAAAAGTTTGTTACCCAAAATTTGATGGTTTGACCGTGTGGTCCAATCTGATTTATGAAATAATAGGATATTCTAGGTATTATTTTCACAACCACTCCCGAATGACGAGGCGAGTAGTTTATTAAACATGTGAAGCGCGGAGCTCCATGGTTGTTGAATAATGTCAAAGGAATTGCGTCATGCTGCTTAATTAATTTATTCGGGCAACACACACAGTCGCACACATTGTGTGTGTGTTTGCGCGTTTGATGATATAGAAGATTTGGCACGTCAGCGAAAATTTGGCTTTACACGGTGGGATCAGCAATTTGAATTTAGCATGCAGCCCAAGTACAATTATTTAATAAATAAGTCCTTCAATTTTAATCATTTTCTCGTTGAATTTATTAATATTTAAAAATTATCTGAATTTATTTTTTAAAAAAATTTAAAATAATTTTCACGATCAAATTATTTTGTCATATATAATGTCCAATACAAAAACGTGAGATTAGGTATTATAAATATTATATGACAAAATCTTTTATAATTATTTGATTAAATCAAATGATTGTTATTATATCACATAAGACACTCATTAAAAAAAGTAAATGCAGGCTACTCATTAAATCTAAATATGTGGGATATGTGTGTAGATGAAAACTAAATGATCAAAATTTAATATCATTTTATTTTATAGTCTTTGCGGCCTCTTTGATGTTTTGATTTTTATGTACTCCCTCTATTTTTATATATAAGAAACAAAAATTATATTATATATTTTAAGAAAGTTAGTTAACTATAATGATTGTATTTAAAAATAAAAAAATTGAATTAAAATATCTTATATTAATTAACATAAGCATCCATTAATTATTTTTCATTAATATAAATAACGTGGGGTTAGAAAATGTGTAATGAATATTTATTAAAATATATAATTTTATTTATATAAAAAAATAAGTAAGAAATTGTAGTTTCTCCCACCAGTGGAAACGAAGGGAGTATTTGTACCCCATTCGTAATCTTCCTTCCCCGAGCTTGTTCTTCTTGTTGAAATTATTGATCGCCTTCTTCAATTCCTTGAGCGAGTATTTTTTCTTTATTTTTTTATTTTAGCATTCCTGGCAAACTCTTCAAAGTCCTTAGTATATGTTTGTCATCCAACCTTTTCCTTCTCTTCTTTTTTGCACACACTAAGTGCCTAAACCCACCAATCCCCGCAACAATCAAACTCATCAATAGCGCCTCAATACCCAAACCCATCCTCAAAGATTGCAACTTGTTCTTGTTTTTCAAAAGAAATTCTCCTGTCATATTCCATCTCGAGCCACAATCCAACTAGCAGGTTGTTCAAATGGACGCAAGGAACACAAAACACAAGCTCTATTTTACGATGTTTTTGAGCCCATAATTGTTAACGTTCGGTGTAAAAGCTAATAATTCACATTGCAGGATCTCTTGAGGCGTGGAGTCAAGTTAGCAGAAGCCATGGTGGCGTTCTACTTATACATGACCCCAGAAACTCCAGAAAGACAAAAATATAGAAAGAATTGAGATTGTGAAGGATCATAAGAAACCCGTGTTTTATTGTATCGACTAATTGACGTCGCTCTTTGAAAGGGGAAAATTGAATTTGTGTGAGTAGTTGGTAGCTTTAATTAGCAAGCCACAGAAGACGAATAGCTCGTCGAATAATATTTTGGTGGCTTCTCTACCCTTCTAACATCTACGTCTACTCCCGAAAACTAACCTGAATATACAGTACTTGGCATCCTCTAGAGCGATTTGGATTCCCGATCAAGATAGTGAAGTGTTGGTCTTTAAAATGAGGGCAAATGTGTCATTTTTTACAAAAATAAAAATGTCAAATAAGTCTTAAGGAACTTCAAAAAAATTATCACATTTTATGATAACTATTTGTCATATGCACATTTTTGAGGTATTTTATTGTTATTCTCCTTGAAAATTAATTTTTATATATAAAATACTAGTTATAATTTTAAATTTAAGGCCCGTATGAATTCTAATTTGGCATAATTGATTATAAAATTTTATTAATGTGCTTAATTTTTATTATAATTGATTGTGTTATAAAAATTGTGTCTGGATATTGTTTTCTTGTAATAGATTTTAATAGAACTAAAAATATTTGAATAATTCAATTAAACTTAATTTTAGAGGTTTGAATTACAATAAAGGACATTAGTTTTAAGATAGTAATAGATAAAATTGTATACAATGTTATTAAAGTTATTTTAATTTGTTTCAAAAATATAACAGTGGTACATTTAACGTTTACTCCCTCTATTAAAAAATATAGGATATTTTTAGTGTTTTAAGGTGTAATTAATGTATTTTTTTTCAAAACTATCATAATAAATAAAATATTTTATATTTATTTTAAAATAAAATACTTTATTAAATAAAAATAAATATAAAAGATGATGTTAGTTTAAAAATACTTAACTGTTTTATTGAGTGAGATTCAGTTAAACACATATATATTGATTAAAAATATAAATTTAAATTAAATTATAATATCAATATCTTACTCAGTACAGAATGAAAAGCTTAGGATCACCTGAAAAGAAGAGTAGCGTCTGCAAATCATCTCTCCCACCAGGGGTACATCTGCTGGGTTCGAAATTCTGACAAAATAATAAAATATTCCAATGGTACAATTGATATTGAGCAGGTGAGGTGAGGTGAGCTTTAAACAAAATGGGGTTTGGAGCAAGATAATTGATTGCATAAAATTGAGGGTACTTGGGTATTTTTTGCCAAAATGTAGTTTTGGTATGAATAATTGATTTTGAAAACAAGCACCTGGCTATTAGAATCAAGTTTAGATGGTCTGGAGATCTCACCACAGTTATGAGTATGATACTTTTGAAGTTTTTAAGTCCAAGCCATGGTCATAACACTGGCTGAAAAAATGCTGTCGATAAATAAATTAAATTAACTCCAAATGCCCTGACCATGCGAGTGTCCCTCCCTGCAATTATATTCCCAGGCCGCCTTGCCTTCTAGCTTGGAACAACGAGTGAAGACGCGTGATTACTACTAGAAGTCGCGTATCGTGGCAAAACTGATATTTCTCGATGCAAGTATTTCGACAAAAATCATCCTTATATCAAAGAGCAGCGAAGCTACTATTTTTTGGTCGGGCTCGCATTGCGTGAATTTAATTAAAGCCTAATTTTCACAAAAAGAAGAGCTATATCCCGGCCAAGATTGTTTAATTCATGAGTTTAAATAAATTTATAAAAAAAATGTGAACTTAAAATGTACACTCAATCACCAATTCATAAGAGTTTATCTTTATAAAAAATATATTTAAAAGTATATGATTAAATAATTAAAATATAAAATATGATTATAATTTAATTTTAATATATTTTAAATATAGCGCATTGAAATTAAATCCTTGTAAATTTATATATTATTATACTCAACAAAAAAATTTTAAAATAGGAGAGCTTATTTTTAATATTTTTTGTTTTTTTATCAATATTAGATTTTTTTTAATTTTATTTTTTAATGAATTAAGTCCTGTTGTTCTCATGAATCAAGTTCTACACAATATCTATCAATTTTGCTCAATGAATTTATGAGTAAATTGATAAAATTTTATAAGTTAAAAATATAAAATCAGTAAATTTGAAGAATTAACTTGCGAGATTAATAGAATTTCATAAAATTTAAGTTTATAAACAAATTAACATGATTTTATAAAACTAAAAATGTAAAAATAATATAAACTCAGATAGTTAACTCAAAGTTGGACGACAATGACCCAGAGCAGTCATGTCCCCTTGACCCAACACTCGTTGCTCTGCCGTCTGGCCTTTCATTCGCACGTCATTGTTTAAGTTCCAGCTCCAGGAACTGTTATTGCTTGTTCATATATGCATAACGAACTTTTAAAAATGGTCCAAAGTCTACTTCACCAATCATATCATTAAGCAAATCAATTTGAAGCGATAGTGAGAAAACGCGTGTTCTGTAATTGCTATTATCAAAAAGCCAACATTCCACTGGTCGACAGGATACTCCCTACTTGTAACGTTGATCCTGAGGATTTTTCTTTTTTAAAAAAATGACACTTACTCTCCTGATTCAGAAAAGAAGCTATCAATGTAATATGTTATAGTTGTGAAATAATTCTCCGACAAAAACCCTCCTCCTTTGCCATCCCAACACCCGAGGATTGTTAGGCCCTGAGGCTTCTTAAGCTTTTCCATTAGGTGGAGAAGTTACTCTCCGGTGGCAAAAATGGCGTCCAGTTTCTTCATTCCTCTTGCCACCTTCTTCCTCTTGTTCTCATCCTGCTTCGCCACCACCAAAATGATCCGTTTCTCTCAAAACATCTCCCCGGCATCTCTGGGCCTCCATGAGGAAAAGCTGAGCCGCCTTCACTTCTACTTTCACGACATCGTGAGCGGCCCAAACCCCAGCGCCGTGAGGGTGGCAGCGGCCGGTATGACTAACAGTTCGCCGACGGGATTCGGGGCAGTGGTGATGATGGACGATCCATTGACGGCAAGGCCCGAGCTCAGCTCCGCTCTTGTGGGAAGAGCCCAAGGCATTTATGCGTCGGCTTCGCAAGAAGAAGCGGGGTATTTGATGGTGTTGAACTTTGCTTTTACGGAAGGGAAATATAACGGCAGCAACTTGAGCGTCTTAGGGCGGAACAAGGTGTTTACCACCGTGAGGGAGATGCCGATAGTCGGAGGGAGCGGCGCTTTCCGATTCGCACGTGGCTATGCTCAGGCCAAGACTCACACGATTGATCTCAAAAAAGGCGACGCTATAGTGGAGTACAACGTCTACGTTTTCCACTATTGATCATTTGATTGGGACCCTGTCTTTGTCTTTGAAAAGTCAGCTCGCCTCAAACTTGCTTTCACTGTTTTGATTTTTTTTTTGAAAAAATTTCAATAAAGTTTCTTTGAACATGCTTACTTAAATTTAAAATCTCTAAATTTTTTAAAATTATACTATAATTTAGGATATTAATCTAACAATAAATTTTTTTAAAAAATGATAAAACTATCTTTCATTTAAATTAATATTAGATTTCTCTATTTCACTTGTTCATTATCTTACTTTACTTTTTAATTTACTTACAGAATATTGTTAATTATCATAGTTAACTTGTTTTTCATTTTAGGTATTTAAGGCATTTTAAAATGATTAGTTGATTTCTATATTATGTGTTGTTTGTTTACTTATAAATTATTATTCATTATCTTATTTTACTTGTTAATTGCAAGACTTTCACTTGACTATATTCCAAAGAAAGCAAGTGAAGCAGATCAATTAATAACATTTTATAAGTAAATGAACAACTGAAATAAGGTAGTTAATAAGTGAAGTATGACAGTTCTAATATTAATCTTATTGAAGAGTAATTTTGTCATTTTTCTCAAATAAATGTGATAAGGGGTCTTTATTAAATTTTTTTTCTATTTTCTTCACCCTTTTCCCAGCACTGCCACTTTGAATTAAGATATAAAATAAGATAAATTGGCTCACTGGCCAAAATACAAATTGATGCCTAAAAATATTGATTATATTTTTGAAAATTTAATATTGTGATCGGTTCACATTGATAAAACAAAGAGATTTATTATTAATATATAAAAAATTTATCATTAAAAATTAAAAAATTTACAAGAAATTTATTATTAATATACAATGATATATCATTAACAAACATGATAAATTAATTATAATATAAAATATAATAAATGTTGTGTTATTTGCTTGATTTGATTTCATTAGTGGACTATATTTGCAAAAACCCTATAAATTATTGGTAATTAATTTATTATTTAAAAAAAATTATTGAAACCTTATTATGTAAAAAAAAAACATGTCTTTCTAATTATAACCTCTAAATATCCTATGTAAATACGTTAATAATGATAATTAAAGTTGCAATATATTATATTTTCAAATAGAGTAATAAATAAAACAGGGCATGGTTAGAAAATAATTATTAAATTTATCAAGTGTTAAATATTTTGACTAAAATAAGACTTTTATAAAATGCATTTTTCTCTCCGAATCAAAATCTAACGTATCGGCAACCAATTCACAATTCTAAAACAAATGTTAATTGAAAGCTTAAAAATGCACACCTTTACAATTCTATCCTCACTACATAATATAATAATTAAAATTTTAATACATTATTTTATAAAAAAGCAAACAATTAATAAATAAAATTGGAGTATAGTTAAAAAATAATTATAAAAAATTATTTAATATTTAATCTTTTGAATTATGCAAGACTTTTAAAAATATGCTATACTCCTTTCGCTAAAAAAATATAAAATATTTTTTAAGAAATTAGGTATTAAAAAATATAAATTTTTTTAAGAGCGTTGCTAATAAATAAATAACTTTATATTTATTTTAAAGTAAAACATTCTATTAAATAGGAGTAAATATAAAAATATAATGTTAGTTTAAAAACAAATAACAGATTTATTGTGATAAGATTTAATTAAAAATGACTTACATTTTTAAATAAATATATATTTAGGTAAAATGGTGAGTAGGACCTTGTTAGAAGAGAAATTGTATCCAAGGATTGAGTTGAATTTAAGGACCAAATTATATATTTTATTCATTAAAAAATTTGAACAGGTGATCAAAATGCCTCTCTATTTAAACCAATAAAATTAAAAAAAATAAAAATAGATTACCTATTCAACACGTGCACTCTAAGTTAAAAGTTTTACACTCAAAGTGAAAAGCCCTGCACCTAAGCTAGAAACTTTACACCCAAGCTAGGAGTCTTGTATCTATGACAATAAAAATTACAACTTACTTTTTTAGTTTATGACTTAGGTACATGACTTTTAACTTGAGTGCAGAGTTTCTGGCTAGATTGGAGGGCTTTTGACTTGGGTGGAGGGTTTTTTATTTGGGGTGTTCTTGTTGAATATGCAACTCTCCTTCTTCAATTTTGTTGATTCAAACAAAGGAAGATTTCGATCATTTGTTCAGATTGTATAATAAATAAAATATTTGATTTGATCGTTAAATTTAACTTGATTTTTGGGCACAATTTTTGTTTAATTAGGTTCTTTTTACCAATTTTTTCTATATATTTTTTTTGTAAAAATATAATAATGATTTTATATATTTATTTTTGGACCCCCCACAATTACGGAGTGGCAATTGTTGGAAGTACTGCAAAGCAGGCCCCACGTGTCGGCCAAGCCACTTCCACTGGGGAGTGGGTGCGTTGTGTTTGCCAAAAGATGTGGGCCATTTAGAAAGGCTCCCGTGGGCTTTTCAATGCCTCAATTTGGTAGTGTGCGTGTGTGCATGTTTTCCTTTCCCGTATGTGTGTTGTTGGCTCGAATTGAACTTTAGTTTTGGTTTTTATGTACTAACATCTTATTTTTATGCAATACTAAATTGCCCACAAGGAATATAGTTAGTAAAAAAATTAGTATTTTATAATATGATAAATTAATATTTGAATCTTTATAATGAGTATTGTTTCTGTTCAATGTCTAACTATGTTATCATATACTTTGAATATGTTTAATTTCATTATGAAGACTCCTATATTCATATTTCTCGTGATAATTGAAAGTTAAGTATCACTCCTTCCACACTATTTTTTAAGTCCACTATGGATGTCATAGATAACAATTGAAACTTGTTTGTAATTTCAATTATACCACAAGTGATAGATGATTCAAGACAATTTAATGAGCAGGATCAATAAATCATTTTTATCAAGCAAGTACGCATTTTCTCCCATGCTCAAAATCTGACAATTAATTTGATTAATATAAACGGAACAATTATATAGTGAAAAACCATGATGATAAAAATGATCTCTTCTTGATGTTTAGTCTTACCTTTTTAATATTTATTGCTATTTATGAACTAGAGATGTGACATTATTGGGCATTGAGGGTGCAATTGCCCCCATTGAGAAAAAAAAATTTACTTATATTTTTGTTTAAACTACACTTGCCCTTCTTTTAAAATTATAATTGCCCTCCATGAAAAATTAAATACCCTACACTCTTTGTAAAATTATCAATCATGTATATTTAAAAACATTGTTTACTGTTATATTTGTTATAGAAATAAATTCACGAAGCAAATGACATTAGTGTATATTTTTAAACTTATCGAATGATTTATTTATATATTATTTTAATTAATGATTAGAATTATAATTTTTTTTCCAAAAATACTAATATTTATATTTAGTTAAATTTTGCTCCCCTAATAATTTTGTTGGGTCTGCCACTATTCATTTTTGCAATATAACTAGATGTAAACATATTAAGATTTGAAAATAATGTAAACAAATACATGTCTTGCACATCATATATTAAATGCCAGGCCTAAAAAATTAACATTAAATTATAAAATTTTATGTTAAATCTGTATCCACGTGCTTTTTTTTTTAAGTTAATTTTCCTATTCTTACGGTAAAAGGTTAACATTCTGTTTAGCTAGCCAAAAAGATTTTGGAAAAATAAGCATTGAAAAAAAGAATGAAAATGAAAAAAATAAAAATAAAGGTACATTCAAAATAATAAAAATAAAAAGTTTAAATAAAATTATCTGAAAATTAACTTGGGAATATCACGAAGTATAAATAGAGGTATTTTATGTCAAAGAAGGACCCTTGAGATTTTGATTTTTTTACTACACCTTGGTTATTAGATGAAAATATTTTTTTATGAAAAATGATCGAATTATTCATCAAATTTAAAATAACAAGCATTCACTTTATATAAATAACAAGTCATTTGAGTTTTAATAGCAACTAATACATGTTTAATAATAATACATTCAGAATTTAATGATACTAAAAGATTGACAGCATATATTTAACAGAACAAGTGTTCACTCTAAATAAATAACAAGCTATTTATGTCTTGATAACAAGCAATTCATGGTTAGCAAAAATACATTTGAAATTTAATAAAATTGAAAGCCTACTAGTACATGTTTAATAGAATAAGTGTTTATCTTTCACGAACAATAAACTGTTTATGATTAACAACATGTTCAGAATTTAGCAAAAGTAAAAATTTGACAACATAGTTGATAAAACAAGTGTTTATTCTACATAAACAACAAGAGTTTTAACAATAATTAATTTGTAATTAAAAACAACACATTTGAATTTTAATAATATTAAAAAACTTGTTGCAAGAGTTTAACAGAATGAATGTTCACTTTGCATAAATAGTAAGCCATCTAGCTTTTAACAATAATCAATTTATAATTAATAATAATACATTAGGATATTAACAATTAATCATATTTAGTTGTTTTTATTTTATTGAGAGGAGCGATTAAGTTGTTTCCCATAAAAAAATATTTTCAATTAAGGGCTGAGGGGGTGTAGTAGAAAATCAAAATCGTGAGGTTCTTTTTGATACAAAATATCTTCATGGTACTCGATTGATATTTTCCCAATTAATTTTAACGAATAATACATTATAGGTTAAAACTTATAACCCTCAAATTTGGTAGGAAGTCCGAGGAACCAGTATTTCGCGCTTGGTCGCGCCCGACGTTGGACGCCGTCCGCTGCTGTCAGCTCTGCGTGTTTGTTATCGAGCAAGTATCGAAGAAGGTTCGGACCCTAGACCTTGTCTACTCTCAAAATCCGGTGAGATTGACTAGTTCAATCTGGCTTTGAATTCATTCCCCGCGTCTTCTATTCCCTGTGTTGTTGTCAACCCTGCGTCGAACGCCGTTGAACCTTTTGCTACTTTTTTTTTTTAAATTTTTCACTTTAATTTGGCTTTGACTATGATCGTGTAGTCGTTTAAATACCGACGCTGTTGAATAAAGATCGAGTTCACTCTTCTTCTTCTTATTCTGTTTTATTTAAAAAAAAAAATTATGACCTGTTTCTGCTTCAATGGCGTGCAACTGGCTATCATACTTCTGCTCTCTTCATTTGGATTACCAGCGACTTGCACGCTTTGGATTGCTTTGTCGGGCAATGTTGGAATTGTTGTGTATTGGCATTCTGTTTATTAATCTCTTTATATTGTCATGTATTTGGAAAATTCTCAAGGTATTGTGATGCATGTTCTGGCAAATGACTCGGTTCGAGTTGCGTCTAACAATTTAGAAGCTTGAGTTTAAATTGTCATTTTCCAGTGGCTTGGAGGAGTTGCCTGAATCAGTTGGCTCACTAAGGCATATTCATCAAAGTATCCGTAACAAAAATTAAAAGGATATTATATCAACTATTCACATTTCAAAGATTTATAGGTCTGCCTGTGGTGCAACTGCAACTTTTCCGTCGGGGAAATTATTGAACCTTGCTGATTTGGATTAGTGACATTGGAATAAAGAATTACGGACTGTAATTGGTGAGAAGATAATTGAAGTGAAGGTTTGAGCATAAGGTGAGTTTTATGTTGACTATGAAAGGAATTTATATCTCTTCTTTTTGATGCAGGGCTGAATGAGTATTAAGGGAAGCATGACATGCTAGTTGCATTATTGTTAGATTATTTTTCCTCTAGTGACAATTCAAGGCTAGATGTGAAATACTATGGTTAATATTAACCAATCAGAATATCATGGTTTTCTACAAGTTTGAAGATTGATCAGTAATAGTTTTTTCCATTGGTTATGAGAGCTTCCAACGGAAAATACTCATCTAAAGGGTTGGTAAGGAGGGAAAAAAGCGCCATTGTGTTTCCTACCTAATGAGTGAATATCATCCCACTGTGATTCTGATGGAACCCTCTATTCTAGTAAGCTTTAAACAAGCAAAGACCAGAAAAATATACTACAAATGGGACTGAAAATACTAACATTTTGATTACAAGCAAAATAAGAACTGAATGTAAATGAAACAGCACCAAATTCACTCCACCAAACAACAACACAAAATAAACACCACTCACTCACAAACACACACTAAGGAGGAGATAAAATGATGAAGAAAGATGACTTCCTCCACCCCAATGCACTGGACTTTTGAGAGGTGAACTCTTCTCACCCCTCTCAATGTTCAAAATACTTCCCCCCTCTCTCTGGCAGACATGGAGGATTTAAATATCTAAAAGCTACAATAACACTGCTTGGACTTTAGCTGACCTAAGCCTACACTCATATGTCACCTTTTTTCCTTTTCCCTTATAGCTAGGACCCAAAGAATGATCTTTTGACCCAGCAGTTCTTGTTTTGCACCTATCTGTCATTTTCTTCTTAATTGCTCCTAGAGGCCTTAGCAATTCAGCAGCTCTATCAGATTCATGAATTACACTTTATTGTCTCATCAATATTTTATTGCCAAATGATGAATTTAACTTGACTTGAAAGAATCTTGCCCTATGAAGAATTATTAAGTGCTCTGATAGAAATTTGAGATTTATCTTGTCTATTTTATTTCTTTACTTATTTTATGTAACAAGTACATGTATGGAGTGGTTGAGAGAGATTTTTAAATTTCATACGTGAATATTATGATTCCACACATGATTGAAAATTACCACCCACAATCCAGTTTCTTTCTTTTCTCTACCTTCTACTTTCCTGATATAAGTCAATACGTGCACCCCTTCTGTGACTAATGATCCATTCATTTGAATTAACGTTTTCTTTTCTTAGCTTCCTTGTTTCACTTGATTTCATTCCCAACATATTTCACCTTCGAGCAGCACGTATTTTAAACATCTGCTTTGGAACAACCCAAGTGGCTGATCTCACTCTCAATGTAATTCCAACAAGCAGAATCCCTGCCACTTATGAATTAGTTCTTGCCCAAACACACACATATAGAGTGGCAAAAACCCTTTTGAATCTTTTAATTCTAGAGTGGCGGAAGAAATTTCATGGTGGTGGTGGTGGGGGGGGAGCATAAATATTGATTGCAGACAATTGTTAACCCAATACCTGGGCAGAAGAATCATGGCTGACGATGAGGACCCAGAAATGGGCATTTGCTTGCTGCAAGGTTTGATGATATGTGTTTTGGGACTCTGTGAAGATAGCAAATGATGTTGTTTAGCTCCAGGGTAGGTGCAGATGATGAATTTTACAGACACACTTGATGATGGCTGGAAAATATGTTCGGAATTTTAAGTTATTTTATTTTGATAATGGAAAGGTTAATAAGTCGTAGTGAAGCGAAGGCTGACGTTTCAAAATAGTCCAGACAGCATGATGAGCCCAATGCTGAGTTTGTGGGCCATATTTATAAGAGAAGAAGGTCCAATAACAAACCTAAGGTTCAGGATGTGGAAATGGGCCTGAGAAAGGAGGCCAAGGATAATCCTCAGCCCAATGACCTTTGTGACCTTTGGGAGAGTAGTGCATGACAGTTTTCTAGGGTTGTGAGCCCCGGAATGATGCAGAAGGTGATATTGTTGATTGGAGAATCCTTGACCTCCCTAACGTCAGGGAAGGCTTTATTCTTCAATATCATTCTCTTACGTTATCCATTTCTGCTGCTGTATCTAGGATTAGTTGGTGATTTTGTGCATTTTTCCTCTTCCTTTTCCCATTGAAGAGGTTGTAACTGGCTATCTAGTGTTAAGCGAGTATACTTATACTCTCCATCACGGCAATAGTTTGATTGGGAAATCCAATGCTAATTACACAATGCCAAAATTATATTTTCCTCAAGGATAAAAGTTCATGTTAACTTTACCTTTGTCTCACTTGGTTTGTATGTAGGGAATTCACAGGAAACAAAGCTGAGACAGATAATGGGAACTCGAGAAGTGTATGAAGAAAAGCTAAGAACTGGCAATCTCCACCATGATCCTACCATCAACCCTGGTCTTGGCTCTCCTCGTTGCCCTCGTTGTCTCTCCCTTCTAAACCCTAATTCTGTGTGTCTACTATTCTCTTTGCAAAATTATGATGAATTTACTTTGTAAAAAATTTCTGTCAACCATTTTTGTGATCATGTGGATTCAGGAAAAAGCTGAATGGACAATTACTTCTGTCTTACATGATGCAACTGCCGTGGTGAGTAAATGATGCAAGAGTGGGGAATTTTTTTAATTATTTGTTAAAATAAAGTATAAATCTTAAATTCCAATATTATTTTTACTGCTAATGTTAGCTTAGTGGTGAGAGTAGACGTTTGTATTTATTAGCTTAATCTTGTCTCTTTCTTTTCCCACTTCATGCAAATCATTGTCATTTGTTGGAGAGCATGGGTTCTAGTTACTGGAATATTGCAGTTTATTTTGTATTTTGGTTTTCATGTTTTCAATTGTGACTGTAGACTCCTGTAGTTTGGGGATAGGAATAGAGCTGCGCTCCTGAGTGTACTGTTACTCATTTAGGAGGGCATGATTCATTATTGGATGAATAATCTTGTTTCCTTGTGTTATCTTCTGTTTCTTGTTGATTAGGCTGGCTCGGGTATTGGTGGTATGCTGAGTGCAGTTCATGGTTTTAACACAGGTATTGCTGGTTCTGTTCTCCTCCTGGCTTTATTATAGACGTCCTTGGTGGCTGGTCTTGCTTATTAATCTTTGACGACAGGGATCCCATACCTACAAAATCGTCTGAAGGGACCAAAGTGGCTTCCTTTCCTAGTTGGGGTATTCATGTTTTATTTTACTTTTGAATTTCCTTTACAAATATTGAGCTTTGGTGGCCTTGCAGTAATGTTGATGCGTAGAATAGTATTATCATTGAACTTCTTGTCATTTTTAGTTCTTTTCGCTCAGCACAGTACATTTTGCATGTTTCTTGTTCACATTCTTTAGCTAACACATTTTGTTCCTCCTTTGTTGGCAGCTCCCTCCATTGCTCATATTTTCAGGTGCAAGTGCTGCATTTGGAGGTAAATGCTTGTACCTGCCTATTTATTAGGTTTAATTTCTTTTTTTTTTGATAAGATTATTAGGTTTAATTTCTAACGCCTATTACATTTTACAAGACGTTTTTGGGACTAACAGTTTACAGACACTAAATCCAGAAACCATGCAGAAAATGACAAATGATTTCTTAGATGGATCATGAGGAATGTCGGTCCCCTTATGGTCTTTAATCTTTTTCCTATTGGTTTGAGTTGGGGTCCAAGCTCTCCTGGCCTTTTTCTTGTGCTTTGTTTGTTATCTAGTTTGGATCAGCCTTCATCGTTTGTTTAGGTTAAATATTACTTGGAGGTTTACTGCTGACTGTGCCTGCATTGAGTATGGGTTTTAGTCTGAATTCATTTGATGGGATTTGTCTGTTAACATGTAATGCTGGGGAATTGGCATTGTGCAGTTTCAGATCTACTGATACTTTCGGTTTGGTTTAATGATTTGTATGTGTCCATTTTGAAACCATCCAAATCATCCTCTTAAAGTTCATCGTAAATGATCCACTTGCCCCAAGATGACCTAACCCTGTTGGGAAATCCCTATTTATTGGGCTTTTTGGTAGGCCCCAAGGGCGCCATATTCTTGGAGCCCAAACTTTGTGATTGAGTAAATCTTTCCCTATCTATTACGGTGAAGGACTCCTTCACCATTTCCAACCTGTGATTCATATTTTTGGCTGAAAAATCTCTGATCAGTGATAGAACAAGATCTATTTTGAACTCACATCACTCAGTCATATCTGTGGGGTTCCTTGGTTCAGGCTGAAGAAGCAATTTCACCCAATCATTATCAAACTGACTATAATGTTGAAGAGTTATAGTTTATTGCAGCGATGTTACAATCTCAAGGGACTCATGACTCATGAGTCCCAACTAATTCAGATGGTATGTGGAATTTGTAGGTTATGTGCTTCCAAAGTTTGCTCAACTCACTGTGACATCTTACTATGCTGCCTCAAGTGCCTCACATTATGGAATCTCTCTTCTCACCCGACATATTGAAGACAACTACAATTCTCATAATCAGAAAGAGCGGCCCAGGTAAACCATCTAGAGGGCACATAGAAGGAAGATATGTTACCCTTCACTATTTGGTGAGGATAGTATGATGAATAGTTGCTTTTCCCTATCATAATGCAGGGCTCATAATATATACTATAGAGGGTTGTCATGGTCTTGTTCTCAACATTCCTTTCTGATCTTGTTTTTCTTTATCCCGACCAAAAAGTAAGAATAGAAAGGTATTCTTATTGTTTTTCATGTTATACCAAACTTGGCTACGGCCTGTAAAATCCCAATTATATAAAGGCTCATTTCCATGTACAGTGAGTTTAGACTTTATTAGACTCTTTTTGGTAGCAATAGGCGAATAGCTCCTGACTCGACTTCCCTTGCAGCAGTTGAGGTATTTCACCGTATCAGTGCTTGATATGGGCACTGCACTGGCCTCCTACTACCAGGGTTCAGGCTGCCCTCTTAATGTTAAGCTAGAACATAGAGTGTAAGAGTTGTCATCACATTACGTTGTTTGAGCATGTCTGGACAGATTTTCCCCCCCTTTTTCTGCAAGGGATAGATTTGTTCGTGCTGCCAACTTTTACCCTCCCTCTGTTTGGATAGGAAGAAAAATTAAGAGAAAAGAAAATAAGAGAAAAGAAAACTAAAAAGAAAATATTATCTCCCATTATGTTTGGATGAATAGAAGAAAATGGGAATGAAAGAAAATAAGCAGATAGCATGATATTATATTTGGTAAAAATATATTATTTTTCTATTTAAAATATTAAAAGGGGATAATTAATTAAAATTAAAATACGAACAATCTATACAATATTAAGAGGTAGCTTTGGTGAGATCATTGCACTGAGTCTACAGGGAGAGGTGTACGATACAGGTAGAGACAGACTGGTGTGAACTAATGAAGAAAAAGTGAGAGGCGGAAGGGCACTAGGAGAACATCAAATTTCCTCTCAATCTCTACGCATGTGGAGAGAAAACTTGGAAGAGAAAATGTGATGGGTTTCACTTTTTAATTTTTCCTGTATTTTTTCTTCCACTTGTTTTTTCTTCTTCGTCCAAACAGTAAAAAATTCTGTTTCTTTCTTGTTTTTCTCTCACATTTTCTCTTCATCCAAACAAAGCATTACCTCCAATTTCCACCCTTTGATTTTGTTTAGGTGTTAATGTTTTGGGATAATACTTATTGCGGGAATTTATGGGGCTTATTGTTTCACTGCAAAAAGGCAGCCTAAATAAAAGGAAGAAAAAATTTGCTGGCCATCTGATGGTTGATTGACTGTAGATCAATAGCCTAAAAGAGTCTGGTTGTGTTGCCTTGTATGTCTAAACTCGTAATTAGTCTTGCATTGTTGTGAAAACAGAAGTTATAAAAGTAGTTTAATTCTTTGCTGTAATTCCCTGTCTTGATTGTCCTTCTTGAGGCCTTTGCCGTTGATGCTCGACGGTTGGAAAATTATAGCATCCCATGAGATGCGCTGACACAAGTACGTGTATTGGATTTTAAACAAGTATTTCTAGAATAACATGACGATATTTATCACATTCAATTAAAATATTATTTTTTAAGTATCTAAGTCATATAGAAATATTTTGATGAAAAAATATAGCAATACAAATGACAAAATAATCAATATGTATCATAAAGTCTCAAGGTATTAAAAATCGTACCAACCATTGAACTAGCCAAGGTTAGAGGTTTAATCGGAGTTGAATTGAGGGTCAATTTAGATTCAAAGTAGACATAATAAAATAATATGATTTTGAATAAAAATAAATTCTTCAAGACTTAATATTTTATATAATATCATATACAGGTTCAACACAATCATCAAAACATCATTACAAACACAATCACATTTAAAACATTCATCCTTATAATCCTTCAATCATTAAAAGTTTAAAGTTAATAATAATCAACATCAAAATCTTCATTAATTCCATTCAAATCTTGAGGAGTAGGAATTGAAACATTAGGAGATGATTGAAAGAAATCAGAACCATTTCCAACATCATCATTCAAATGTGAACACTCTGGAATATTCATATCTTCTTCACCTATTTATAATAAAAATTAACATTAATCATTATGTGTTAAAAAATAATTATATATTATATAATATAGACATGTTAGTAAGTATGAATATTCATTAACTCTTTCAAAAGTAATGGAGCTACAACATTTTCATCATCCATAGCACTTTTCAAATTGGTGACATAATCAGCATCAAACTCTAGAGCTAACTCTTGTTCTTCTTCAGCAATTTAAAAGTCTAATTTGTCAATAGATTCATAATTAAGAGGATCAAGACTTGTCTTTTTCTTCAATTGGCTCCTTTAAGAAATCAATAAAGTATATAACTATTATAAAATAGTAATAAAATTGTTATTTATTAAAAACATTTATAACTTTCAATTTTTTCTTGTGCTTCAATCGCAAATTGTATTTTGTAAAAATTAAATCATTTAGTCTTTGATATTCTAATCTATTTTTTCTTTTAGTATGAATGCGTTCAAATAAACTATAATTTCTCTCTCAACCAAGAGAAGTTTGGCTAAGAATATGCATTACAAGATTTTGCAATTTTGGAATAGAACTTTCATAAAACAACCACCATTCATATGCAAATAAAGGACAATTAGTTATATGTTATATGACAAATGAAATTACCATGACCATGTTAAATATTAACATTTACAAGGGTCTAGTTTTTGTGCTGCTTTATGACATGAAGTTTTATCAAAAGATTCTTTATGATCATGATACAAGCTCAACTATTTCATTATTACAATATAATCAACATCGTCATTTTTAGTGGACTCAAACACTGAAAGCATTGCATCCATTAACTTTTTCTTGTGAACAAAGTCATCATAATATAAGAATGCAAGGTTCAACAAATACGCCGCTGCATGAAGATTGGTTTTTAAGTGCTTATCCCATCGAGCTTGAATAATATTTGCATAAGGCGTATATTGGTATTTCTTATTGTTGAAGACTGCCTTGATTGTTTTTTTTTCTCTTTGCATGCCTTCATAAATATAAGGCAAAGAAGGCTTCTCATCTGAATCAACAATTCTCAACAACTTTATAAGAGGAGACACAATCTTCACAACTTCAAGACATTTATTCCAAAACTGATTATCTAATATGATGGCATTAATAATTATTTTAGCTTCACTTCTTGATAATTTGTGATCCATAAAATGCTTATCAGTAATTAAAGTTTGCAAGTCATGCTTGTACATATATATGCCATACAATGTGATAAATTTTATAGCAAACCTTGTCGTACTTAGGTGCACAATTTCTTTACAACCCTTTCTTTTCCTAAGCCATGACAAGAAGACCATATGATTACAAACAAACATGGTGATCTTTGATGTTTTGTTGCAAGTTGTGACACATGAGACATGCTTTGCAATGTTTTTTAAAGTGAGGTTCAAGCAATGAGCAACATGAACCAATAAATACTTTTACACTTCTCTTTAATCAACTTGCCATATGCTACATGATTAGTAGCATTATCAGTTACCACATGAACAATATTTTTAGGACCAACTTACTCAATCACTTTAAAAAACAATGAGAATAAAGTTTTGGTATCTTTCACTACATCTGAAGTATTAACAGATTTCACAAATACTATGCCATGTGTAGAATAGAAAAGAAAATTTATCAAAGTTAATTGCCTCACATTTGCCCAATCATTAGCCATGAGTGTACATCCATAGGTTTTCCATTTAGATCGATGACTCTTAATAAGTAGTTGACATTCTTTTTTTCAATCATTTAACAAGTTGACTTTAAATTCATAAGCATTATGACCCTTAAACCTAAGCCCAATTGAAGTAATAACATCTACAACTTTTTGAAAGAAGGGTAATCTAATGCATTAAATGAAATGCAATTCATGATAGCCCATTTAGCAGCGGCCATCTTTACATTGTGTTATGCTTCTTTAGTTGCAAATGCACTCTTGATGCTTGGCTGGGAACTTGGACTTGTCCCAAGGGCAAAATAGTTTTCAATTAGAATAGTAGGAGGTTTCTTTTTACTGGCACTACTCTCAGGAATTGACATAGATGGAGTAAGAGCAATGGTTTCCTTAGCATTAGACACATGTTCCCCCATGTTTGCTTGTACATCAGCAGGCTTTCTCTTTTTTTCACTTTTCAATGATTCTTGCATCTGATGACGAATATCATAAGGAACTTTGCTGCAAGAAACTACATTTCTACTTATACCAGCTTGCTTTAATCTATTTATTCCACCTCCTTTATAGTTTAATGCACAATAAAGACATGTATACACATTTTTATTGCCCTCTTTTCTTAAGGAAACATCTGCCCATATGGGATCTTTTTTCCTATGAACTGATGGGGTCTTAAATGTGGAGTCATTATGACTAGCAGGGGGATTAATGGAATTAGGGGTGGGATTATTGGAATTGGGAGTAGGATTATTGAAATTAGGGATGAGATTCTCAATCTCACCACTACTAGAATTACTTTCAATATCCATGTTATAACTTTAATCTACAAGTTACAATAATTTCAACATAAATAATCATCTAATGCAATTAGAAATTATGACAGTGAAATATGTTCAAATGAGCAAACATAATTCTAGTTTCAACACAATTCCAACAATTAATATAAGATAAATTAAAGCATGCCAACAAAGTAATTAATATCAAAGCGTGCAGATTCAAAAAGTGAAGCTCGAAGATGCCAACAGAGCAAGAGCTAAATGTGTGATTTCAAATTATGCCAAGTGCTAACATATAAAGCTAGAAGGTGTAATTTTAGCTAAATTATAACTAAATGTGTGATTTAATTTTAGCTACCTTAAGTTTGCAAAACAACATATTCAAAATTTTAAAAATCTTGGATATGTTGAGATTATATTTGGTAATTGGGATTCAAAATTTAGATTAATATACTCAAAAGTCAGAATACACAATTGAAGCTCAAAGATGCAGAGCAACAACAATAGCAACATGAAGCTCAAAGATAGAGAGAGAGAAACCATACTAGAATCAAGTGGGAGAGAGAGAGAATAGTTACCTGAGAAAGGTCACTCTTAAGGTTCAAGGATGAGATGGTCAAAGCTCACTTTCAATCCCCAGGGATGATAGTAGACGAAACACTCCAAGCTTGAAGAATGGATGACACAACATAGAAGAAAAGGTTCAGGCATTATCGCGTTAGTTGGACTGCTTGTGGTGTTGGACAGAGGAAGATTCAAGAGGTAAGAGTGAGAAAGCAACAACGAGGAATGGAGAAAGATCAAAGAGGCAGAG